GGATTCAGGAGAAGGAAGCAGATTTAAGCTCCAGGACTAGGTATTTAGCTTACACGGGAGGAAAAACACTGGCATTCAAGCATTGATAAGTACTAGAATGAATGGACAATGTATGTTGTAGGAGCTCTTCAACAAAGGGGAGATCTTTTGAAAACAGATTAGATTCCCACAGGTCTCAAACTCATTAAGAGGCAAAGATATGGGCAAAATAACTACTGAGGATCCAATCAAGACCCCTTCAAGGCCATCATGATTATTTCAAAGGTCTCTGTTTTAGCGTGATGTTAATGAAGAAAAGAACATGAAATTGTTCATAAAAATTATTCAATTATACAGATTATCTACTGGAATAGAAATTAGGTAACTGAACATTGGAACTCATCAATTATAGCATGTTGCAATATGCTCTTACATTATTTTGCCAAAAATTAGAAACAATTGAGTAGATTTCTTTATTGCCGAATCCTTCTGCTTTTCCCGAAAGTTCTTGCGATATCCCCAAAGATCTTTATATAGCTACATAAATAAATATTTTAACTCTTTAGAGAAGTTATATATATATTTCTAAAGCAGAAAGAAATGTTACGATATACCTTTAAAATAACCTATATTAGAATTCACTATCAACATTTTATAAATTGATTTTAGAAACAAAAAGAACTCACAGAAAAGAAAATACTAGACAAGAAGAATAAATGATAATTTGTTGAATTTTAGTTTCACAGTGGTAACCTATATCAGTATACAAACCCATTATAGATAAAAGAGCTCTTCCCATGCAACAAGACTGTCTCTTTAGCTGCAATATGTCTTTCCCTGTCATCCAACACTTGTAGGTCAGTGGAGAATATTTAGCTTTCACTTTTTGTCATCTTAATAAAAATAGTGACATCATAAAACAGAAAGATGCTCATTTTGCAATTGACAGCCCATGTATTTCAGAGCATCTCACCACAATGAAATGCCTTGGATCCTTCCTTCCTACTATTAGTTGGAATAGGGTTGGACCTTAATGTACACAGTGTGTGTGCAAATGATTTCTCTGCAGTATGTGATGCTGTTTGATAGCATTTTACCCACAGTAGAACTTCCTACAAAGTTGGAGTCAGTCCTCTCAAACTCTGCCGCTGCTTTATCATGTCAGTTTATGTCATACTCTAAATCCTTTGTTGTCATTTCAACAGCCTTCACAGCATCTTCCCCAGGAGTAGTTTCCATCTCAAGAAACCACTTTCTTTACTCATCCAAAAAAGCAACTCCTCATCCATTCAAATTTTATCATGAGATGGCAGCAATTCAGTCACATCTCAGGCTTTACTTCTAATTCTAGTTCTCTTGCTGTTTCCCCCACATCTGCACCTACTTCCTCCCCTGGAGTCTTGGACCCTCAAAGTCATCCATGAGGGTTGGAATCAACTTTTATCCAAACTCCTGTTGATGCTGTTATTTTGACCTCTTCCCATGAATCATGAATGTTATTAATGGCACCTAGAATGGTGAACCCTTTCCAGAAAGTTCTCAATGTGTTTTGTCCAGATCCATCAGAGGAATCACTATCTGTGGCAGCTATAGCCCTACAAAATGTATTTGTTAAATAATAAGACTTGAAAGTTGAAAGTACTTCTTGATCCATGGGCTGCACAATGGATGTTGTGCTAGTAGGCATGAAAACAATATTAATCTCATCATATGTCTCCATCAGAGCTCTTAGATGAGTAGGTACATTGTCAGTGAGCAGTGATACTTTGAAAGACATATTTTTTTCTGAGCAGTAGGTCTCAACAGGAAGCTTAGAATATTTTGTAAACCATGTTGTAAACAGATGTGCTGTCATCCAGGCTTTGTTGTTCCATTTATGGAGCACAGGCAGAGTAGGTTTAGCATAATTCTTAAAGGCCCTGGGATTTTCAGAATGGGAAATGAGCACTGGCTTCAACTTCAAGTCACCAGCTGCATTAGCCCCTAACAAGAAGGTCAGCCTGTCCTTTGAGAATTTGAAGCCAGGCATTGACTTCTTTTTGGCTGTGAAAATCCAGGATGCTATCTTCTTCCAATAGAAGGCTATTTTGTCTATATTGAAAATCTGTTGTTTAGTGTAGCCACCTTCATGAATTATGTGAGCTAGGTCTTCTGGATAACTTGCTGCAGCTTCTACATCAGTACCTGCTGTTTCACCTTATACTTTTACGTTATGGAGATGGCTTATTTCCTTAAACCTCATGAACCAACCTCTGCTAGCTTCCAACTTTTCTTCTGCAGCTTCCCCACTTCTCTTGGGTTTCATAGAATTGAAGAGTTAGGGCCTTGCTCTGGATTAGGCTTTGGCTTAAGGGAATATTGTTGCTGGTTTGATCTACTATCCAGACCACTCAGACTTTCTCCAAATCAGCAATAAGGCTGTTTTGCTTTCTTATCATTTGAGTTTTCATGGGAGTAGCACTTTTAATTTCCTTCAGGAACCCGTGCTTTGCATTCACAACTTGGCCAACTGTTTGGTGCAAGAGACCTAGCTTTTGGCCTATCTCAGCTTTTGACATGCCTTCCTCTTGAGGCTTAATCATTTCTAGCTTTTGATTTAAAGTGAGAGACGTACAGACTCTTCCTTCCACTTGAACACTAGAGGTCATTGCAGGGTTATTAACTGGCCTGATTTCAATGTTGTTGTGTCTCAGGGAATAGGGAGCCCCGAGGAGAGGGAGAGAGATGGGGCAATGGCTGGTTGGTAGAGCAGTCAGAACACACATATTAAGTTCTTCATCTTACATGGGTGTGGTTCGTGGTACTCCAAAACACTGACAGTAGTAACATCAGAGATCATGGACCACAGATCACCACAACAAATACGATAATCATGAAAAAGTCTGTAAATATTGTGAGAATTTCCAAAATGCAACACAAACATGGAATGAGCAAATGCTGTGGGAAAAATGGCATCAGTAGACGTGCTCAACACAGGGTTGTCACAAACTCTCACTCTATAAAAAACACATCTGGGAAGTACAATAAAGTGAAGTGCAATAAAACGAAGTATGCCTGTACAAGGTAAATACCTTCTTCAACCCATGATCATCATCTTCATCATGATTACCAGCATCTTCAAATGATTTGGAGAAAAAGACTGCATAGTGAGATTTCCAATTTCGCAGGTGATAATAAAGAACTAAATAGATAGGAATAGACCATAGGAAAAGGGAAGAAAAGTGACAGGTGAGTTTTCATTCAGGCAAGTACAGAATAAAACATTGGGCGGGGAGGGGGAAGACTGAGAAAGCAGGAGGAGCCAGTGGAGAGGGCGCCCTGAGAACAGAGCCCAAGGCAGCTGCTAAGCCGAGTCCCTCGGGTCAGTCTGTGCCAGGAGAATGCTGGATTCAGTGAATGTCATCTGGCAGGAAAGTCTTGGGCTTCATTTTGAAGTGAGCCTTCCCACTTCCCACTGCCTCTTTCTTTCTGTTTCGCTCCTTCTCTGATTTCCCTTATGGCTATGGCTCTAGAGTAGACAATTGTTAGAATAGAAATTTTGCCAGTGTATCTCTCAAAGAGGTCATTGTATCCTAACACTCCAATTAATTCAGGAGAGCGAGGGAGATAGGAGCCGCTGGAGCCAAGAGGGGAACTGAGTGGGCTGGAGCTGAGATGGACCTAATTGAGTGGAAAGAGAAAGCAAAATAGGGTGATTGAAAGCTGAATGCCCTGTGGGCAACTTGTGTTCTATCTTTCATTCATTTAGTTCAGGCCCTACTTTTTGCCCTGAACAAATTCTTTCAGGTTTCTTTTCCAAATGGAGTTAAATAGCCAAATTAATTCCCCAGTGCAGGATTTTCTTTTCACGGTCTCTGTATGAGCCAACAAGTCCACATCTGATAGTTTGAGATAAGCCAGAGAAAAACTTCTGGGTCTGGGGGTGGTCATGAAGCTCTTCACATCAGAGAGTGTACTTTGAAGGGTGGTGAGGATTTGAGCAGACTGGTAGAAAAAAAACAAGGGTGTTTCAGGGCTATCCAACCAAGGAAGGAGGCTAGAGAGGGCAGGAGCCAACTCTCAGGGTCGGTGAGTAACCGGCTGACTGGTTTCTGAAACAGAACATGAGATGAGGCTGGAAAGTTAGGTTTGCTCATGAACAGTAGGTAAGCTTCAGGTTTGAAAACAAAGCTTTTTCTTAAAAAAAAAAAGTGCCCTTGCTGTGTGCCAGCCTTGTACCCAGAAAGAAGGTAGAGAGGAAGAAGGCAATGAAAGAACATTTTTTGATGAAACAGAAAATAGGAAAGAAAATAAACTCCAGCAAATATTAGAAACACACAAATCAGACTATTTCAAGGATATGCACATTGCTTCTTGGGGGTAATGGGAAGAACGAGTCAAACAGAGAGAAAAGAGAGTAGACCCCAGGAAGACGGCCTTAGGAGTCAGGCTGGTCTGCTGAGTAGCCCCTCGAAAGTCCATTCTTTGGGCTTCATAACCGACAGGGGCCCTCAGCCTAATGATGTCAAGGTGGTGAGGGTGGAGGAGGGTAGGGAAGGGGAGAGGAAAGAATACAGAAACACCAGATTCAGAATGCTAGACATATTTCACATTTGGTAGATTCAGATTCCCAAGATACCGGATCTCTGAGGCTCACTCTCCCAATTGAAGCAGCTCAGCTTTGCTCTGCTTCTCCTCACCAGGACTCTCAACACTATCCACTCCATAGACTCCTGCCTTCGGAGCCCTGGCAATCTCCACCCTTCCTGCCTCTCTAGATCACTGGGGGGTGGGGAGGTGTGGAACAGGATGGGATATGCAAAAACTTCATGAACTGTAACTTGCACAGCATTTGTTGCTGCTGTAGACATAGAAACACCTGGAGAATGCTGTGACCGACGTGCACTGGGGCTTAACTGTAGTTTAGGAGTCCAGCCACTGCAAAGCGGAGATGGATCCAAGGATAGGGTTAGTTAGTAAGGCTTCATTCTCGCACTCTCTCGTGGACCTGCGAGCCGGTACCGACCGTCGTTCCCTTACAGGTGACGGCAGAGCTGGACGCCTGGAATGAGGACTTGCTCCGGCAGATGAATGACTTCAACACGGAGGATCTGACCCTGGCCGAGCAGCGGCTGCAGCGCCACACGGAACGGAAGCTAGCCATGAACAACATGACGTTCGAGGTCATCCAGCAGGGCCAGGATCTGCACCAGTACATCATGGAGGTCCAGGCCTCAGGTGGGTGAGCTCTCCCATCCTCCTCCTTCTGGCAGGGAGATGATGAAAGCAAGCAGGCCAGCCTGACTCCAGCCAGCACGTGCACTCTGCTCATCCACTTCATTCCCACAGATACGGGAGCAGAGGTTTTTGCCATTTTAAAGAAAACTGATGCATGAGAGCCGAAATAACTTGTCCAAGATTGCCCAGTTAGGTTCTGGTAAAGAGGAGGATAGGGCCAGGATCTCCTGGCTCCCGGTGCTATGCAGAGAATGGGGAAAACAAAAAATGGAAATTTGCACAGATTGGGAAAAAACGGGGGCCTGCAGAAACAAACCAGGTGGGCTCCGAAAGCAGCCAGCCAGCTGTGTGAATTGTATTCTAATGTGTAGATGTTTGCTGTTCACCCCCCAGGCCCCCTCTCCTGGTCTCTGGCTCAGGCCTCTCAGAGAGCCCAGTTGTTGTTTTTTTTAATCACTGGTCTGTGTGTGAGTGTTAGAAGTGCTGATAAAAATTTATGGCAAGGTCATATAATTTTATAACTTCTCGAGAAACCGTGGCTGAGTTACCCAGATTTCACTTCTTTTTGTGTTCGAGCTTTATTCAGTGTCTATCCAGCAAATGCATGAACCCTTCCTGTGACACCCACCGCTCTCCCAAACGGCCTTTGGTGTTGGAACCAGAGGGAGCCACGGCATTCCCACGGTCAACTAGTCCAGTGGACAAGAAGTCACTCACAGAGGCACATGCAAGTAGAGTGCTGGAACACAGTCTCTGCACCCAGCCCCACCGTTGGCCTCCCCTCCCCCCAGGTCCTCCTTGGCTCCTGTTCCTCACCCTCCAGGAAGAGGCAGACGGGGGTTCAGGCCATTAACTCTTGAAGACACAGTAGGTCCATGTCCCTGTTGACCAAGAAGGATGTTTAGAATCATGAGATTGTCAGGCAGACGTTAGCCCTCAAACTTGACTGTAGGGAACTGTGTTTGTTTTAAGGACCTGAAAGAATAAATAACAGCATTCAAAGAGACTTCACTCCTAACCAGAGGAAAGACAGTCTGGTAAATTCTGTTCGCTCGTGAATTTTCGTTTGTGTTGTGAACAGCTGCAGCTGCCCAGGCTTGTTTACACAGTGCAGACCGTGCCCCACACCGCCCCAGGAAGGGCCATTCACATTGCAGTCTCTCGGGGGCAAGGGTGGGGGGTTCTTTTAAAAAATGGCAGTGCCAGGCCCTAAGCCTGGAGGTCCTGATTTAACTACCTCTGAATGGGACTTGGGCACCAGCAAAAAAACCTTCTCAGGTGATCCACTGTGCAGCCAGGGCTGAGAAGCACAGGAAGGTTTAAGGGCCCATTGAACCTGCCACCTCAGAATCTCTTGGGGGGGGCCCAACAATGGGTGTCTCACCAAGCCCTCCAGGGGTGCTGATGCACCATGAATCTAGGACCTACTCAAAGTGTGGGCCCTGGACCAGCAGCACCAGCGTCACTTAAGAGCTGATTAGAAACATAGACTCCCAGCCCTTATCCCAGACTTAGAAATCTGAATCTGTATGTTAACAAAATCTCCAGGGAAATCATGTGCCTGTTGAGATACACGCTTGGCAATGGCTTGTACATCTTCAAGGTGTTATTAGGGAAGGAGGGGGAAAAGTGTACCTTTCTCTGCAGTTGAGAACCTTACCTGGACTCAGGGTTTCATGTTAGAGCTTCCCCTCATGGTGCTCACAATAGCTGGCAATCCAGCTAAGGCTGGGAACCATGAGAGGATGCGCAGGACCTAAGAGAGAGGCTGGGACCGAGAGGCCTTGCAGGGCTGTCACCCTTCGTCCCTCAGTATTGATGTATCTGGCAGGAGGGAAGCTGGTCTGCCTCGAAACCGCGGTACTTTGTACTGGGATGCTGGCGTGACCTGGGCAAGTCCCTCTCTGTCCCAAGAGCCAGGTATCCATGGTAACAGAAAGCCGACCAGGAGTTGGCAGCCCCTGCAGATGGCCTGTGACCGCGGGTTAGCTGTGCTTGGCAGCCTCCTGAACCTTGAGGGCTGAGTGGGTGAAAACACCTAGGGCAGATGGGCTGCCCACACCCACAGTATCCTGATCTAGAAATGAGCTTTGTGAAAAGAGGCTTGATTGGCCTCTTCAGCCCTGTCTGCTGGGACTGGCTGTTCCCCTGCTCCTACCACAGCTAGCTGTTCAGTCTGGCATCGTCCAGGGGGCTTCAAAGGCTTCCAAGGGAATGAATCCAGGGATTTCAGGGAAGCTCACTTCCTGTCTACTGCTGAATGCCGGGTCCTGCAGAGGATGCATCTACCTCGTCTCTGGCTCGGAGGAAGGGAGAGCAGGGTTGTGCTGGAGCTGGGGGGTTGGGGTGGAGGTTGGGGGTGGACCCAGGTTGGGTCTTGCCCCCAGGTGATTGAGGAATGCAGGACTTCAGAGACCCCGGACTGAGGCAGTAAATGTCTTCATCATTGGTGATGTGTGTCTAATAAACTATATTTGAACTCAAGGTAAAATAAACTCTTGTCTTAGAAAAAAGACAATTAACAAAATTAAGCTCTTGGTTGGTGTTTAGCCCTCCATGCTAACTTAATGAAGGGCTTATGCTTTGATTTTGTAGGACTAAATGGAAATAGGGAATTTCTATACACTTATTTTCAGGTGTGCAGTTGTCATGGTGAGCCAGGTTCCACTAAGTCCCTCTGGTGTTGCCAATGGCTCTAACCAAAGCAAAGCCTTTGCTTAAATCAGCATTAGCTTTAGGAATAGAAGGCGAGACAGGAACACTTTCTCCCCTTGCTCATCGTTCTCTCCTCGCTATAGCATTTTCTATTTTGGCCTCAAGTTGGGAGGTGCCAGGTTTTGCTGGAAAGAGTCAAGCTGGAGAAAGCATGCCGGCTGAAGTCAATGTCCAGTTCCACTATCAGCTAGCAGTCTGCCTTTGGAAAGTTCCTGTTCTTTCTCTTTAGACCTTTCTTCTTCTGTCTAGTGTGGGAGGTGGGCCTGGATTCCTGCAGTCCCCTCCAGTTCATACTTGCCATGATGAGTCAGCCTAACCACCCCCAGTGGCTATACTGCAGGTCTCTCCACGGAAATCTGACCACGTGACTATTCCATGTGGTCTTAGGAGTAAGAAGAGCTGCTTGTCTTGTGGACGTGTTGCTTGCTTGGTCTAATCAAAGCATCAAGTTTTCTTTATGCGAGGCTTTTAAGTGAAAAATCTTTGGGATCTGTGGCAATGATACTTAAAATTTACTGTGCTTGGAAAGAACCCAGCCCTAGCATTTGAAAATAAATAAAAAATAAATTAAGTGTGGTGGGGATCCTTCTTCTTCTTGAGCATAGAGCTCAGAGCACGGATGGGAGGGAAGAGTGCCTGGGTTGGCACACGGCCACACCCTCCCTACCCGGCTGTGCCCCAACATGCTACCCAATCTCTCCAAGCCTCACTCTCCTCCGGAAAACAGCAGTCATAAGAATACCCAGCGCACAGGGTCATCGTGAGGATGCAGTGCAATAATGCGCAAGCATGGTGAGGCCTCGAAGAAGTTTGGTAACTGTGACATGTTATGCTTGTATTCTAGCAGGTATTGCATTCTCTTGCAGCCATGTGTTCCTGTAGCTTCTCCAGCAGCGTGAGGGCAGGACTCTTTCTTCCTTCTCTTTCCATTCCCGGCATCTGGCAGAGTGCTGATGTCTTGCACATAGCACATTCTCAATAAGAGGATTTGATTAGTTAATGGAGTGAACATCAATGTGGGTGGGACAGATATAGGAAAAAATAAGGGGCCACAAATAATTTCACTTGCATCATAAAAGGAGAGAAAAGACCTGTGTTTTTCTAAAATGGAAGCTACTCTGGGGTTCATGGGAAAATGGATCAGATGGGGGCTGAGCGGAGGAGAAGAGAATGTAGATGTAAAACAATAGTTCTCGGCCCGGCTGCAGATTTAGAACCACCTGCAGAGCTTACAAGTACCAAGGTCTGGGCCCCACCCCTCAGGGAGTCTTGCTTAATTGGTCTGGAGTGGGCCCAGATTTTTTTTTTTTTTTTTTAACTTCCCAGGTGATTCTCTTGTATGGCCAGGGTTGAGAATGCTGATCTAAAAACCCGATTAAAGGACTTTATCATTTCTGAACGGGGTGTTACATTGAGGGAGGGGCACAGAAGGAGGAGTGAGGAGGGAAGGGCTAGTCTCTCACTGAGGCAGGCTGACGTTAATGCACAAAGAACGCCTCTGGGTAACATAGCCAGGAATACCTATACCTTACTCTAGACCCCAGCCACCTCTCTCCTTGAGGGAACTAAAGTGGTACCCTCAAACTGGCAGCAAAGGAAAAGTACAGTGACATTATTAGCTGTGGCCTCGGGCCCTAAACAAACGCAGTGCCAACCATTCTGCTGACCGAGTATAGCATAAAGAATATCTCTGTCCCCGGGTTGCTGGCCATGGTACCATCTTATCCAGCAGTTTCCCATCTTGGTTGCATGTTGAATCACCGTGGGAGCTTTAAAACTTCCTGATGTCTGGGTACCACCCACAGACAGTCTCCTGTTGCTGCTCTGGGTGTGGCCAATGACCAACAGTGATTTTTAAAGTTCTCCAGATCTAATGTGAGCCAAGATTAAGAGCCCTGGTCTAAGACCATCCAGACCATCACAGTTTCTAATGATGTACACTGAGCAAGTTCGTAAATACCTCACAGTAAGATTTTATATTTACATTTTTACAAGCCATTCAACAGTTCCATTAATAATCAATAATGAATATGTTGTAAAAAAGTAGGAACATGCATATTTTGAGCCTACTAAATGCCAGGCACTGTATGTACCTAATCTCACTAAGTCCTGTGACACCCCAGAAGTCATTGTTGGGATTGTTTTTACCCAAGCTCAGAAAAGATGTGGAGCCCAGAGATGCACTGTTCATAGGGGGCAGAGCATGAATTCAAACCTAAGTCTGTCCTTTCCCAGAGCTCGCAGGTGCTTTTCACCACAGCACGTGACCTGAGCCCTTCCCTGCAGAGGCCATGTGTTCACGGAAGAGCTTATTTATTGGCTGTTATGAGTCAAGCCCTCTACTGGAGCTGAGGATGCAGAGACACATAAGACATGTGGCCCTGGCACCAGGGAGCCTGCATTCCTGCGAGAACAGGGACAAGTTAAGGAACCACCCCCAACGGGAAAGTTCTAAGGGAAGGATGGGTACAGAACCTTGTGGAACACATCAATACAGCTTGCCCTAAAGAGACTGACAAACTGTCTCCCTACTTGATGGAAAGAACACACATGTCTTGCTGCATTTCTGAGAGCCCCTAGGAAAACAGACTGAGAAGAGTAATGCGAACACAAGCAAACTATTTGCTGTTGATTGATGGGTATTTACCGGTTGATGGGGTTTGACTGGGACTCGTGTCGATGTGTGTGGGGACAGTGGGAGGAAGGAGTGAGTTTCTCTCCTCCTAGGTGCCATTTCATGTTCCTCCCATTCACTCCATCCACAGCACGATGTGCGGTTGAGTGGACTAGGCATTGTCTTCCCCCATTTTATTTCCTGTGTTCATCTCCCAAAAAACAGTACCAAGAGAGGTAGATGCAAGCGAAGGGCTGGAGTCTCGGGGCAGGCTGGGAGCCGGTTGGGGATTGTATCCTCAGCAGGTACCAGCCCCTTTGACGAGTTACCAGCTTAGAGGGCCCATTTACATGCCAGGTGGCCGAGGTGAGCCACGGGCTTCCCAGAGAAAGACACTTTCCCAAGCCCAGCATACTAAACACCAGAGGTGCATGCGGCATGAAAAGGAGCTAGAGAAAACCTGCATGGAAACAGGGAAGAGCTTCTGCTCCTGCAGACGGATCTTAAATTACATTTCCAGAAAGTAAACATGGGAGTCAAGGGTCATCTCACTGTGCTGAGCGCTGCAGAGATAGAAATTTTTGTATTTCTTCTTCTTTTTTATTTCAGTCAAGGAGATGCTCTACCTTATCCCCTTGGTAATTGAAAATAGGAACTGAAGGGAGCTGACTGCCAAAAGAACAAGCTGTTCTTCTCTGTCTCCCACAGATATTTCAGGAGATGGGATTTGGAATTATGAAACTGGTAGAAAAAAATAAACATGAAAAGATACTGAAATTATTACCATGTAACACCAGAAGTTTTTGCCACTCTTCCATATTGTCCTTATATAAAACACTATTTTTGCCTCTAGAAATGAATTTCCCTTTGCATGCGTACACTCTCCTTACACCCCCCCTCCCCACTGTATCCGGAAGGTATGTTGGTGGTGGCAGTGATGAGTTTCTGATGATGTGAGTCAGAATGCTGGGGAAGTCTCCCAGAGGGGACTTATTTTTAGGTGACTATACATGAGATTGGCAGGCTCCTTGGGGTGTGATCCCCATGGAAGTACATTAGGCTTTGGGAATTTTAGTCCCACCCCCACTGATGGCTGGGTCCCTATTTGTCAGCATCAGGAGCACAGCTGCATTGGGTCATAGACGACAGGATGGAGAGCCAGGGAAAGGATCTGGACTGAACTGAGAAGCTGCAGAGCCAGGTGGAGTCACGGATCAGAAGGAGGCAAGCCATCCAGACTTAGGATTTTTATAAAGCTATGGGTCTGAGCAAGGTTGAATCAGTCAGAACCAAGAAACAATACAGGTTACAATTTGCATCAGGTTGGAGGCAGATAGCAACCAAGAGGGCACGAATGCAAGAAGGTAGGGAGTTGAGAGCTTAAGAGTCTGGAATCAGGACAGCCATGGGTCTGTGTGTATTATGTTACACGACAGAGACTCCACATACATTATCTCATTTAATCCTCCCAATGAGGTCCTGAACAGGCAGCTCACGAGGTAGGTAGGTAGGTAGGTATATAACACCGTATTTCACATATGAGGAAATCGAAGCTTCTGACGGCTTAGATAACTTTCCCATGTCCAGGATTCTGACTCAGGGCTAGCTCCAAAGCTAGCACACTCTTCATGTAGCCTTCAAGAGCTAAGGTAGGAATCGAATTCAAGCCACTAGCAGACAAGAAGGCCTTTGATAACTAAGGCAGTCCCCTCACTCTGTGCCAGGGTTTAATGACCCTTCCTGAAACACAGATCTGTTTGAGGAAGGCTATTCTAGTCCTGCTGGTGATGAATGTATAAATAGGATCACCAGCTTGCTGGAGAGAAAAGTGTGTGTGTGTCCACGCTTGTATGTTGGGAGAGGTATATAGGAAAAGTAAGGAATGGGCGCCTGGGTGGCACAGTTGGTTAAGCATCTGACTCTTGGTTTCATTTCAGGTCGTGATCTCAGGGTTGTGAGATTGAGTCCTGCATTGGGCTCCATGTTTAGCACGGAGTCTGCTTGAGATGCTCCCTCTCCCTCGGTCCCTCCCCCTGCTCTTTCTCTCTCTAAAATAAATAAGTTAATCTTTAAAAAAAGAAAAAGTAAGGCAGGTGGAGTGGGATGTGGACAAGGAATGGAGCCACAGCTTCTGCCTGGTGGGTATTGACTCGAGGTCCCATCACAGGTCAGGCAGTTGGCAGTTTATTAATGCTGGGTGACGTATCCATAAACATCGGGAACTCTTGTTAACTGGCTGACTGGGCTTATTCTTTGCTTTAAAAAAGCGGAAGGACAGTGAGCACACTCTTCTTGTGTGGGTGCAACTTTAACATGGCTTTTGTAAATGGAGAAGCGCTCGGTACCCCTGTGCCATTGCTGGGTGCGTTTATCGGGTGCGTTTGCCTGTGTTGGAGAAACAATATATGAGATAGCTCTAGCATGTAGTTCTAAGAGTTGCTTTTTTTTAGGGCGCCCAAGTAGTTGGCTAATAAAATCACCCCTGCCCAGAGACTCTCATCAGAACAAACTTGCCATTTAAGTATAAATTGCATCTGACTGGCTAAAAGAGTGTGCCTTTGGCAGAAGTTCCTGAGACAGGTTATTTTCGGTTTTGTTTTGTTTCCCAATATGATCCAGAGCCTTGCTTGTGAGTATTGTAGGTATTAGCAAACCCCCCAGGAGGGACTGCCGAGCGCTTTCTTCTCTGGGGATGGACTCCCAGAGAACCTCCTCTCTCTGTAACACCAGCTGATAATAAGGAGCTGATCATCTGTTGAAATTCCCAGGAAAAGGATCAGATAATCCAGAGTGGAGGCATGGTTTGGACACCCCAAACAGAAGCTTCAGAGAGGGATGTGTAAAGGCCAGGAGGGCACTGCTCCTGGCTGTTGCTGAATTCCTGCTTTCTTGTGCGTATTCAAAGAAGTATGGTCTTTGTAGCACTACCTCATTTTTCCTTGTTTACTTTTTTCTTTAACCAGGAATTGAGTTAATCTGTGAGAAAGACATTGATCTGGCAGCCCAGGTACAAGAGCTACTAGAGTTTCTCCATGAGAAGCAACACGAATTGGAGCTCAACGCAGAGCAGACCCATAAGCGGCTGGAGCAGTGCCTCCAACTGCGGCACCTACAGGCCGAGGTCAAACAGGTGAGCCCGGCCCCTCCACCGCCCGCCCTCATTCTGGGCTCCCCCCCAGGCCCCGGGCCTGCTCCTGGTGTGGGGAAGGTGTATGGAGCCACCCTCGTCACCAGAACTTGGAAAACGGGTAAGCGAAGGAGTGGTAGTTGGGTTTCTGAAAGGGAGGTTGCTATCTGTCGCATCTGACAACTAGATCGGTGGTACAAGGCGCAAACCACAAATGCGTTAGTTTTCTCTCCTAACAATGCAAGAAGAGCATTCCAGAGCTTTCCCAAGGTGTCCTGGGAGTCGCTGAGCCTGTTCTCTTCCTTTCTATCCTCCATCGTGACACACAGTTCATGTGATATGCAAATCTCTCATCGATAAACATGGTCGGGCTTTAGAGCCCAGTTGGTTAATGTGGGGCACCTGACCTCGTGCAGTGCCCGACACGTAGCTGATAGTAAATGGTAGCAGTTGCCCTCGTGCTCTTCAATATGCATGTGCAGCTTATAAGAAAATTGTCTTGCCCTATTAAAGTCAATTAAAAGAAGATTTCTTATCAGTATGAGATGTTATACTAGCCATTTTACCAAAGGACATAGCCAGGCCTCTAGGAACCTCTAGGAAAACACAGGAACCAATGACACATTTTAAAATATTATATATTTGTATTATGAACAGACTCAGTTTTAATTAGCAGCATAATGAATGAGATTTTTTTTTATTTAGACAAAGTGGGATTGAAGAAATACAAATATATAATAATTTATTGAGTGCTGGGTACCTTTTACACTCATCTCTCCATCAACCCTCACAACCATTCTCTGAAGCAGATCTTATTCCCGATTTGCAGATGAGGCCACTGAAGCTTAGGTCACCAGACAATGGTCACATGGAGCAAAGAGCATGTCACCGTGCTCCACTGGTCTAGGAGGGCTTCCCTGCAAGGGGGGGGGGGGGCACCTCCAGGCAATTCCATGATAGTTCCTTCTGCTCCACATTCTTTCAAGCAATCCCAACCCCTGCTCCCCGAAGGCAGACCCCCACCTGAAATAACCTAAGCAGAGGACCTTTCTGTTAAGCATTTTTTCTTATGCACCATGGCTATTACACTGTCTTATTTAACTCTATTAATTTAGTACAGGGGACAAAAACACCATATTTTATTTAATCATTGCTGTTCTCTTATATTCAGAGTATTTCTTGTTAATGCCTGGGTCTTAGTTATTATATTGTTATTTATTATCATGGGCAAAATGGTCTTCTCTGCTCTGCTTCTCCCGAGCAGTGCTCATCCAGAGCCCTTACACACTATGCTGAAGATCTGTCCTCAGCGCAGGTGAAATCACTGAGCACCAAGGCAGGCTGGATCACAGGGCTGCCATCCAGATTGTTTTCTGTGTAATTACACTGGGATCACACCTGAGTCGCTGGAGAGACATGATGGAAATCCTAGCAGACCCAGAGCAGTGAGGATTACACAAATTCTGAGACTCTTGGTAATAATGATAGTACTTACTTTTCAGAGGAGAGGTTCTTTCTCATTTATAATCTCATTTTAAGAGAAGAGACCCATGGGGGAAAGGGGTGCATGTTTATTTTTTACAAGTGGGGGAAACTGAAGTAGCATAGGATTAGTGCTCCCAGGGCCTGTTGACTAGTTAGCTGAAACTTGAACCCATGCTTCCTTTATCAACAGTCCCACGGTTTGCCTCTCCTGGGCCCCAGTCCTGCCCTAGGGCTCCAGGAAAAATAGAAAGAAGCCCTCTAGCAGAACGCAGTCTGGGATTTTCCTGGTCTTCACAGCACTACATCTGAGAAGACAGGCCCACAGGGCCTGCATCTGGCACAGAGGGTGGCACCTACCCGACCAGTCAGCAGGCTCCAACAGGTCATGGGAACCCTCCACTCTTCATACACTGTTACTTCCACCAGCCAAAGGTGGCAGGAGAGATCATCTGAACAAAACAGATAACAGGAAAATCATTCCTATTTGTCTGTGAAATGAAATAGGTATTTTTGTTCCTGGTTTTTAATTGTATTTATTTTTTGTTCCAACATTAATAGTAGGGTCAACTCCCAAATTATGTTTTTCTTAACTGGTATGAAAATGGAAATGATTTTTTTATCCTTTGAGTATACATTCTGTATAGGATGGGGAGTTGACATGATGATAGGTAGTTTGTCAAATGGGGACATAGGTTGTCTGTATACGAATAATCCAGGCTAGATGGATCTCTGGATACATTCCCATTCAGTATTTCTTGAGTTGGAGGACAAAAAACTTTTCTGCAGGAGAAAGTTGCTTCTCCCCACCATGGTGAGGATGACACACGTGCGACTGTAGTTCAAAACATACTGGATTGCTCAAGTCAGACTGCAGGAAACGCACAGTGGCCTTGGGAGGTGCCAAGGGATTGCTGCTTAGTTAAGCCACCATGCCTCATTAGGGGGACTTGTTTTCCTTGTCAGTGTAGGGCTCTTTCTTTTGGGAGTCATCTGATCCAGTTTCAGAGAAGGCATTTGTGTTTGATGGAAGTTGGTGGAGCAGGAAATATTGATTTGGAAGCTGTTGACACTTGGAAAAAGGGAGTTAATTTAGATGTCTATATTGACCAGTGGAGATAAATTTAGACACAAGCTTGAGAGTTTCTCTTTTGAATATACTCAAAAGAAAAAGAAGAAGAAAAGGAAAGAAAAAGGACACCTTAATTGAAATGCCATTAATGGGGATGGAAAGGGAGAGAACAATGCACTGCTACACAGTTGGGTGTTAGAGCCCATAGATGAGAGGTTTAGATTTGGCCATCATAACCATAGTGTAGTTACATGACCATTATATTAAACTGAAGCTTTGAAGAGAGATGATGCCACAGCTGTCAGACTGAAAATTATTGTCAGAGCTTGAGAACAAGTGAAATTATTTAATGTGACTGCTGTTCTTTTGGGGTTACATGGGGCTCTGTATCTTAGATCGATGGCCCAGACACCTCTGGAGAAATGTTGACTCTTTAAGGGAATTCCCTCCCCTGACTACAGCCCATGGTCTGGGGCCCTAGACCATTTAGATGCCCCCTTTCTTCTAGAAAAAGAGTTCAGATTACTCCCCAGCCCCACAGAATGTTCCGACTGCTTTCCAGGAAAATTACTACTCAAAGTAAGAAAAGAAGATTTGAAAAACCTACTTAATTGGCAAAAAACTAAGTGAATTTCCATATGTGTTCCTGCAGAACAGGGCCTTTAGCAGAAAATAAGCCAAAATGGATTTGTAAGCTCTCAGGGCTCTAAGTATGGGAAAAGAAATCATACTTATCTACTAAAGACATTGACTTAAATTACCCCTATGGACCAAATACTGGCCAAAATTTGCTTTTTATTAAAGTGAACAGTGAAAACAAAGGAGGAAATATTACCCTATCAAGAATACTGCTGTGTTAATTGCACTACTGGGTATTTACCCCAAAGATACAAAAGTAGGGATCCGAAGGGGTACATGCACCCCGATGTTTATAGCAGCAATGTCCACAATAGCCAAACTGTGGAAAGAGCCAAGATGTCCATCGACAGATGAATGGATAAAGAAGATGTGGTATATATATACAATGGAATATTATGCAGCCATCAAAAGGAATGAGATCTTGCCATTTGCAACGACGTGGATAGAACTGGAGGGTATTATGTTGAGTGAAATAAGTCAAACAGAGAAAGACATGTATCATATGATCTCACTGAGATGAGGAATTCTTAATTGCAGGAAACAAACTGAGGGTTGCTGGAGTGGGGGGTGGGGTGGGAGGGATGGGGTGACTGGGTGATAGGTACTGGGGAGGGTATGTGCTCTGGTAAGCGCTGTGAATTATGCAAGACTGTTGAATCTCAGATCTGTACCTCTGAAACAAATAATGCAATATATGTTAAGAAAAAAAAAAAAAGAAGAAGAAGGTAGCGGGAGGGGAAGAATGAAGCGGGGGAAATCGGAGGGGTAGATGAACCATGAGAGATGATGGACTCTGAAAAACAAACTGAGGGTTCTAGAGGGGAGGGGGGTGGGAGGATGGGTTAGCCTGGTGGTGGGTATTGAGGAGGGCACATACTGCATGGAGCACTGGGTGTTATGCACAAACAATGAATCATGGAACACTTCATCTAAAACTAATGATGTAATGTATGGGGATTAACATAAGAATAAAAAAAATTAAAAAAAAAAAAAGAATACTGCTGTGTTCAGTTCTGTGCACCGTACGTAAAGGTAGAAAGGAATTGGGGTAGATCCAAGAGAGAGGAGACCAAAGGGATGAGCATTTGTTTCAAAATGGAGAAAATTAAGAAGACCCATAGTCACGGTCTATAAAACCATGATCACATGGAAGCATGATCACATATAATCTCATACGCTGTGAACCTTTAGAGCTAAGAAATGCCGGAAATATGACAGGCTCCGAGCTACCATCTGAGGGGCCTGCCCTTTGTCCTGTGGCCAGACTTTCAGAAATGACTGTGCCTTGTGGTAAGTCATCAGCAACAGCAGGTCTTAAGAGTCAGAGGCCTCGAGGGCATCCTCAGAGCTTTATTGTCAGTGTGACCTAGAGAACACAGCCCTATACAAGCAGCTTCCCAGCCTACCGGTTACAGGGGACAGCTTACCTTGCTTAGACGGCATCATCATTTACAGACATCCACGTCCAGTTAACCAAATCCAGTCTTCTCACTGGGGTTTGCCTGCACTTCCTTGGCCTGAGGAAGCAGTAGATCCCCATTTTCAGTTCACCCTCTCAGCTCAGACTGAGCTGAATTCTTGGCCAGCTCCTGAGTCCCCTGAGCAGCAATCAGCAATACTCCTTGGGTCCCTCATTTTTATAGACCTGACTTTCTCTGGTTTCCTATGGTTGTAGGGCGAGTCCCTGAATTTTGAAAGAAGTGTGGAATGTGAGGATTCAAAGTGACCCTCAAAGGTCATCTCACCTATAGGTAAATTGTTGCCTAAGATAATTGATCAACATAAAATGCTCATATTATGCATTACATTTTATGGTTTGCAGAATACTTTTACATGATGTTTCTGAGACCACACAGGATTAGTAAAAACAACATTTTATCATTTTTATTATAATATTTCTTCTACTCCCTTGCATTCATTTGGATGCTCATAGAATAAATAACCAGTTTTATGAATCAGGGAAATAAAGGACAACAAAAATAGAAAATTATACCAACAAAGGTTGTCACTGATCAGACAAGAGAGAATGGCGCTAACAAAACAGCTCGGGTTCCCACATCACATCAGAATATGGCAGTAAGCTCTACAGATACTGGAACAAAAATCAATAGCCTTTTTCCCTTCTCATTGTGAGAGGTATAAATGAAGAATCATAGCATTACCTAGCTTTGCTCCAAAACTAAAAATCACCACCTCCACTATCACCAGGCTTTACATCTTACCGCATGTTGCATCCACCCTGCTGTAGGAAGGGAAGACACTATTATGCTAACTTTGCAGATGAGAAAACCGAGGCTCAGAGGGGTGAGTGGTTTTGCCAGGTAGTAAAAAAGTCAGGTGTTCTAACCTCAGATTTTGTTTTTTTTTTCCTTCACTAGCCCAGTCCAGCTTCTGGGACAGACTCAGTTATAGGAATCAGTCCCACCCCTGAACCTAAGTCATGGATATAAACGGGCATTTTTATCTTTCTAAAATCAAAACTCCTGCTTTAGAGACCTGGGATGCCTTTATATACAGCATTTGGGAAATAAAAATGAACAAGGATATCAAGGATATGGCATGACTTAATGAAAGACGTAGAGACTGAAGCCTATGATATCTGAATGGGAAGCTAGTAAATGGAGATCCCCACCACCAGAGCTCTAACTGGTGTTTCCAGTTGGCTGAAACTAGAGAGGAACAGATGCTAGCAAGACTTAGGAAGCCCAGAGGGAGTCAAATTGCCCCTCAAACGTTGATTTGTGATGCACACGAAGTAAATGTTTCTCTGACACCCTCAAATGAATCTTGAACCAAGCAAAATGCAGTGAATCATGGCAGAAGGACTTGCATAGTTCAAAGTATACATTGTGAGCTCCGTTTTCCAAAGAGCTGAAGCATTTGGGCATACAATCCATGTATGCATATACCCAAACTTACAGGCAGCTTTTGGAAATCATTAGCACCTCCAGCCAGCCAGCCCCAGCACACCACTGGCATCAGAGATTTAACACATACACTCTGAGACGTTATATCTGCAACTAATTGCTTTACAGATTTGGCATCTCATCCACAATCTGCCAGACTGGCCATGAATTAACATCTCAATCTGAATAGCCCAGCTTCAGCAGGATTTTTGCCCCAGTGTTATCCATGTACAATATGTCATCAGTCATATTCTGCCCAAGGAGGAAATTTGAGACACGCCTATGAGGATTATGGGATAGGAGGGACCAGGCTTAGTGTTTTTCTAATTGTTTAGCATGAAGAAGTTGAGAGGAGAAAAAAAATCTGCAAAAATCTGAAACAGATTGTGGTATCTTCTCCTTTGCCTTGAAGTAACAGATGGATGATATTTACGAATCTTGAAATTTCAGAAGAATTTTTATTTCCTCTCCAAGCAAACTCTTAGACTCCCTATTAAAGAAAATATTTAGCAATTTTCTGGTGACCAGACACAAGGTATATTTTCAAGGCCTGATTCTTCCAGTGTGATTATTTGCACTTGACTTGAGCTCTTAGCTAGAGAATTGCCACATGCCCATTTCACCTAGGACTGTCTAGACAGTGTTAGCTGTTTCTCCTTCTATTCTAAGATTCCCTAGTTGAACTTTCTTACCCCCAGTACTAATTAAGGTCACCTAGAAATTTTACTTAGCCTAGCCCTTGCCTCTAGATAATTTAAATCAATTATAACTTATTCTCCCATTTTCTAATGATCCAGTGTATGGATTACTTATGCTGTTTTACTTGTTTTCTTTCGCCTTCCTCCTCCCTTTGGGTTGTTTATCTGTCAGAGCTCAAACCTGTCTATTCTTAACTATTTTTGCAAGGCATAGGAGGTTGGACCCACTGTTCAGGTGCAATTTGGGTATTGTCTACAGATAATCGTTCCCTTTTTCAAAAACATTACTGCATACTCACCATTTGTAAGGCACCATGCTAAGCACTGTGTGAGACTAAAGCGTGACTCATCTACTGCCCTAGTCTTCCAGAAGTTTACATTTGGGGGGATGGGGTATGGTAGGATGTTGAAATGTAGGTTAAAACAACTGAACAAGGCAGTCTGGTGAGTGCCACAAAGGTGGTATGGTGTGGTTGTACTAGATGAGGAGGATCTGTTTCTAACAGGAGTAATTGGGTTTGGAAGATTTCAAGTTGTTGGTATCTGAACTGGGCTTTTAAAGAAAGAAAAGAATGCCAATATATGGAATTTATTTACTTACACCATTCTACATTCTAGAGAGAACTTCAGAGATGTACATACAATACGATCCTATAATGTTTAAATTAAATGGGTAAGGAAATTGGGACAGAGGGGTAATAAGGGTAGAAAAGAATATATGTATCTAAGAATGAGGTTGATACTTACAATAAGCACCGTGTGGCACAAGGTGACAGGTAAGATGGCAGAGATGAACAATTTAATTATCCAGAGCCTTCCTGTCCTCTCTCTAAGTGAGGTCAGAAAAGATAGCAAGGTCTGACCTAAGGACCTGTCGGAGAAAGCAACAGCTCTGGGGAGGGTGCGAAGGCCGTTCATCTGTGTTCTTGTCCTGACTCCCCAGGTCCTGGGATGGATCCGCAATGGGGAGTCAATGCTCAACGCCAGCCTCGTCAATGCCAGCTCTTTGTCTGAAGCAGAACAGCTACAGCGGGAACACGAGCAGTTCCAACTGGCAATCGAGGTAACACCCAAATCTGACTCCTCTGCCTTCCCTCTCCATTTCTGCTCTGCTCCTCAGACAGGTTGATTCCTCAAGATGTGAACATTCCTTTAGGTAGTGAAACCCTTACTCTTTCTAGTTAAATGGTCCAGGTAGCCTCCCTATTACCGAGTAACTGATGGGGAAGCAAATGCAGGGGTTCATCACCTAGTATGGAAGACAAGTGTTCACACGACAAATGTGCATCTTGGTCACTTATTGGTCCCTTTACCCATAAGGCCTCTGGTACACTGAGTTTTTGTACATTATGGACTATACACCATGTGAGACATGTGAAGCCAAAAGGTTAGAAGTCACTTCCAGTTGAGGAGCCCTCAGAATTGAGGATAAACAAGTACAGAAGTCATTAGTACATTAGTATTCCATTTTAAAACATTTGATTTCTATGTAATATTTAGATTTCATTGTCAGATTCTGCCTTCTAACAAGAACAATGAGCACAGGAGTAGTTGCACTAGATAGTTTGCTTCGCTGAAAGTAGTTGTTTAGTACCACCACCAAAAGAAGCCACATTTCAAGAGTAAACGGAAACCAGAAGTTCACCAACTGACACTTGTTCTAAAGGCTATTTTAAAACAAAATTCCTCTTACAATAATCTAAATTTTGCCATCTTGCTTTAAATAATACCTTTAATTATCCTTTCTACTAGAACATTCTCCTTCCCAAAGAGACTTGAGCTGATTGCTTTAGAGTGGTATGGGGAAAAGAGCAGGAAATGGGACATGGGAACTATATTAAAAATAAAGTAAGATCAGTACCAATGGGAACAGAGAGAAACCTTCAAAGATATTCATTACTTGTGGTTCCGTTTAAAACTCAACCCACTTTTGAATGTGTAAGAAATGCAAAGGTGTTATCTTCTACTAAAAGAATGATTGTTAAGGAGACTTTTCCACAACAATGATAAAGTTTTAACTGTTCGTGCCTATAAGTATATCTTTAATACAGTAATCAACTGATTACTAGCCATTTTTAAACTAGTACTGATTGATTTCAACCATTTAATTTTCTAGAAACCATCTTGTATGTGTGAACGTAGCATTAACATAAATGACATGTTTCTATAAGATGCCTGCTGTCTTCTTAGGAAGCATTACTAATGGTAGTTTACTGTCTGGGATTTGAGATTTTAAAATAGACTATATATTGCACATACAGTGTGGGCAATCACTTTCTAAGGAGGAACTCAGCAGAGGAGAGAGTCTTTATTATCATCAGCTGCCTCTGTCTCAGTTTACTGGCATACACAAATATCAAAGTGTTAAGATCTATTCACCATCGAGGAAATATCAAGATTGGGGTCACAATGGAGAATCAGATACAGAGCGGTGAAAGCCCCATAGAGAGGCAGCATAGAGAGCCAGCATGAACAGAGGTTGGGCAGACAGACTAGGAGCGAGGCATGAAGCTGTGAGGGTGAGAGGCAGAGAAGACCACTGTTGGCCACACCTCCTCCTCGTTTATCTCAAATGTGAAGATTAACCTGCCCTATCAGGTAATTAACTTTCCTGTCCCCTAAGCAAATGTTGAGCCAATAAAACCAGGTATCATGACATGCTAGAGCATTTCAACGAGCTAGTGGAAAACAGTGGGTGAATGCATTAGCATTCCACCAGTTGCATAAACAGTATATTAATTTGTAACAGTGCTGTTGTACCTGTACAGAATAGAAGCTTACTAAGCATGTATGTCTCTTAATTACATGGGTGCAACTTGATCAAATATTCTTGGAATTGATATTGAGATCCCATGAGGCCCCTGTGGAGTATATGTCTATGGTCTGAAGAGGAGATGGCAGAGCAGATAGGATTTCTGGAAGATCACGGGAATGGAGGGCAGGCAGTGTCTGCAGCCTAGCTAAAGTAATGAATTTCAAATATGCTCCTTCTCCAGGTAGCCTTGTGCTTCTTTCTAAAAGCATTGGTTTAGACCAGGTTCTGCATCAAGGGGAAGATATGCCAGGGAAGATTTATGCAATTTGAAAGGGGATCTAACTAGTCTAGTTTGACTTGGCCCATTTTGATTGTAATTACTTACTGGATTCCAGTGATTGCTGATAGAGAACATAATTTGTCTTCTTGGACCCTAAGAAAGAATCCTGGGTTCCATAAAGGAAAACAAAACAGCTATGGGTAGGGTGACTAGATAATTTATTGTTAAAACTGAGATACTTCTAAGAGGGAAAAAGGGAACTATTAATAACTCAGCTAGAAAAATAGGCATATACTAGAACTATCATGGGCAGACTAGGATGTCTGCTCACCCTAGCTTGGGTGGCCTTATTGGTTTAAAGATTTTAGTCTCCCCAAAGAAGGTCAGAATTTTTACCTAAAGTACTCTGAGTTTTAGGAAAACAGAACCATTCAAAACAGAGAACAGCACACAGCAGCCAGAAGCATAGCTTTATCAACAAACCCAAATTATTGTTTGTTAGTATGCAAAATGGTCTGGCTGATGTGTTTTCAAGAACGGTGACTATCATAGAGACAAGCTCAGTTTGAAATCAATTTTATTTGAAATCCTCTTATGTAATTTAAGCATAAGCATTATGGCAGAGTAAGTAGTTAAAACTGGATAATAAATTCAATTGATTTGGTTCAATTTTCTTCCATGTACTCCTATGTTAAAATCATATAGTAACATCCTTGGTAATCCATGTCTTAAAGATATAACACTCAATAGGATTAGATAATAGTAGAAATAAATGCATAAGAATGATTCAAGCTTATCAAAGCAAAGATTATGTCATGTGCATAGGAGTTTGTCATTTGGAAATTAAAGGGGATGGAGTTCCAAGGACCATCAGATGATAATGAGTTTCAGAATAAGGAAGAGGATTTATTACATAGCCTAAATTATAGGACAATTAGAATTATTCCTTCACTCTCAGAGAAAAAGACATAATAATGGGGTTTTGATGACAATTATATGCTGGCTTCATATATTGAGGAGAAGCCAGTTAATTATCATAATCACTAATGTTCATTTGGTGAACCCTTCCTCTGCATGAAGCACTGTAGATACCATTCTAACTCTAGAGATAAAATAATGTGGTGTGATATGGTGGGAGTGAACATAGGAGTAGTCAAACCTGAATCTTATTCCTAGTTTCATCACCTTGTTGGTTGTATGTTTTGGGGCAAGTCACTCAACCAGCCTGAGCCTCAGGTTTTTAATTTGTGAAGTGGGAATAATAATATCCACCTTGTCGTGATGTCATAAGAACTAGAAAAAATATGCCTAAGCACAGTGCCTAGCACAGACTATACCCTTGGATAAATGACAGTTGTTAAAGTGATTTCTAAAACAGTGCTTGCCTTGAGAGTTTCACAGTCTAAGTATGGAGAAGCAGCCAAATATATTAGATGGGTGATATAGGAGTTCAAAAAAGTAGTTTTTAGTGAGTCTCCGGCTGTCCAAAAAGATTTTTTTGTTGTTGTTGTTCACTAAAAGGTAGGAAGAATGAAGGTAGCAAAAATAAGAAAGCACAGAGTGTGTTTTCAGAGGGTTTTTGTAAGGAAGTAGTAGATGATAGATAATGTTATGGAAGTAGTTCAAGACTACATTGGGAGGAGCTTTTAAGGACATCCTTCGAAGTTGGGACTTAATTTCATAGCAGTGGGAGAATGACTGAAGGCTTTTGCATGGAGAGAGGGGAATGATAATTATAGCATAAAATTAGAGTTTTAGAGCCAGAAGAACATTAGGAGTCACTTCATCCAAGCACTTGCTATTACAGAGAACCAAATTGATCTATTGGAAATGTAAGGGATGGGTTTGATGGATCAGAAATGGAAAGCAAGGAGGCTAACTATAGGACCACCGCGGCGGTCTAGGCATGCAGTGGGTTGGACTGGGACTTGGGGTGAGGAACAGCAGTCAGGAATGATGTCAAGATTGTAAACCCAGGTGACAACAAGGAGGGCACCATCAATACAAATGGTAGACTGCCGTGGGAAGATACTTCCAGAGGGAGGGATTTCGTTTTAGATGTGGGACGTGAGAAAATGTCCGGGAGGAAGCTGGAGGCTCTAATAGGGCAGTCAGGCCATTTGCATTCACTGACGAGCATTCCTCCTCTCCCCAGGAAGACCTGTCACTTCTTTTGCTAAGAATGCATCATTGTAAGTGGCTAACATGGGGCAGGCAGCTAGAGCAACCGAATCAGTGCTGCTGACCTCGAGTGGGAAGTATGGCAGGCAGCTCACCCTCACACCCAAAGACAATTAAAGATGAGGGTCCGCAATGTAGCATGAGAGACGAATCCTGGGCATCATCTACAAAAAGGAAGTAATAGCAGCCATGGGAATAGATAAGAGTTCTGCAGAAGTGAACACACACCAAGGGTGCACCTTGGGGTACCCCTGTATTTAGGATACAGGAAAAGAAAATGGTGCCAATAAGTAAAACAGAGAAAGAAATCAGGGATTTGTAGAGGATCATTTCTGACCCTCAGTTTACTTTTTCTTGCCGTGTTCAACATTTAGGAACTCAAATTCTGATATGGTCATCACAATTGAGGGCTAACTTAGTGGCCAAGCAAGGGAATAAAGGAGTCTAGGTTGCTAGAGGCTGTCATGCTAAAAACGAACACTGAGTACAGATTCCAGAGACGGGGAAGGGAAGCCAGGAGATGGGTGATAGACGGGGGGAAATAAATAGGACTGTGCAGACTGTAGTCTGGGATGGGATGAAGGGGGCCAGGTGATGTAGGGGTGAAAAGAAGGGAGTGCAGAATGGGTCAGCTCTTGGGAACTGTCCCGGCACCATATATATTTATATATATATACATATATACATATGTATATAGTCCTAGAGGCAAACATAAGTAATGTAATAATGTAGGGATTACATGTTGAGCTGAATTATCTACTATACTGCTTTGTTCCCTTCGTGGGGTAGCTAAGGGATGGTGAGATGCTACTCTTAGGCTTTATTAATCTGCCAAATTTATTCCTTCTACTGGAATCCTTTTCAACTAATGTTTAAAATGATTGTGTTGTTGGCTGAGCCTTGTATTATGTGGAGATTTTTTTCTTACATACTGTGTTTATTTAACCTGTCAAGTGGGGCTCAGCAGTAACCTCCTTGAAAACTCACCACAGTGAACAGTTTTATGATTAGATTTGAAAAGAAAAATTCGCTAATGTCTGAACCGGTCAGGGAGCAGATGTATACAGAAATGCGGTTTCTCTGCCGCAGAAACTGAGATGTCTTTAGAACCAGGGATGCGAGTAGGGGAGTGGGGGCCGGAGTTAGGGTCCTGAGCATTCGGTTAATGAAAATGCATGATGTTCTTTTTTTTAAAATGTGCTTTAAGATCAATGATGTTTTAATCATCATGACAAAATGTTTGAATCCACCATTTAAAGCTCTTTAACTTTTCTGCATCTTTCCACTCACGCCTCACTCCACCCCCTCCCGTACCACGCCTGGGTCGTTCCCACGGACCTCTCTCTCCTCCCCTTGTGCCCAGTCCCTCTTTCATGCCACTTCCTTGCAGAAGACGCACCAGAGTGCCCTGCAGGTACAGCAGAAAGCTGAGGCACTGCTCCAGGCCGGCCACTATGACGCCGACGCCATCCGGGAATGTGCCGAGAAGGTGGCCCTCCACTGGCAGCAGCTCATGCTGAAGATGGAAGACCGGCTAAAACTAGTCAATGCCTCTGTGGCATTTTATAAAACTTCTGAACAGGTGAGGGAAGGGCTGTGGGATATGGGGGACTAATGTCAATGCAGGGTTGTTTTTTCCCTTCATCCTGCAAATCTGTAGTATCTCCCTCAAGAAGAAGCTAGTCCTCCCAATACTAGCCTTTGAGAGTAGAGTAATGATGTGGAAATAACTACAGTTAGCCTCCTTATAATATTTTCCATTAAAGAAGTGAACCGTGTGATTTGTTTCTTGTAAAATCTCAAACTCATCAGATCTAGGTGTTGAAGGAGAAATTAGGTGTATGCTGAATACTAGATTTGAGGGCTGTATCAGTCAGTTACTACCACAATAATGCTGTATAACAAACTACCCCACAACTCAGTGGCATAAAACAATAAGCATTTTGTTTTTAAGTATTTGAGTTCAGCTGATCTTGGCTGAGTTTGGTAGAACTGGGCCCCAAGCTGGAGATCTGGTCTAGATCTGCTTTCATGTCTCTCAGTCTCCTGGATCAGTAACTACTTGAGGCAAATTTATGGTGAAAAGCAGGAGTGCAAGAGCCCAAAATCTACTGTGCCCCAAATCTCAAGTCTCTGCTTATGTCACATGCTCTAACATCCTTTTGGCCAAAACAAGTCACACGGCCAAGCCAACATCAGTGAGGTAGGGAAGTCTATGCCTCCAGTGAAGGTCAGGAGAGTAGGGTGACAATCTGCTGGACATAATCTGATGTGCCACAGTCAGGCACTAGGCTTAGAAAACACACAGCTCTTTTACTCATGGGGCTCTCCGTCCGGTGGAGGAAACACAGCTGTCTGTCCCTAGTAGACTATGAGCCTAGCTGGTAGGATGGTGCAGCTGTGGGAGAAAAGGCAGGAGATACGTACAGCAGGATGACAAGGATTTAGACCCCTTACTTTCCCATCTGTACAGCAATATGCACAAGGGCTAAGAGGATTTCTAACTGATTTGGGTGCTTTCAGGGAATTCTTTTATGAAATAGAGGTTTAAAACAGAAGTAATTTTACTCAATGTAAAATACTTTCTTCCTTGGAATTGCTCCCTGGTAGAAATAGATCAGAGAAACATTCTCCTCTGGGTGACTTACAGGGGCCATGGGAAAGTCTATCTGAAAGTAAATAAAACATGCCTGTCAGAGGGCCCTGTGGCCTCCACACCTTCTCTCCGTTCTCCTTTCTGTTGTTTCAGAGTGATGGTGCCTTTGATGGCCCCAGAGTTGGGAACAGCAGACTAAGGTGATTTATAGATTCAACGCAATCCCAATCAAAACCCAGCAAACTTTTTTGTAAAAATTGATATGCTGATTGTAAGATATATATGGAAATACAAAGAATAGCCAAACAATCTTGAAAAGAAAAACAAAGTTGGAGGAGTTACACTACCTGATTTTAAGACTTACTCTAAAGCTACAGTGATCAAGACAGAATGGTGTTGGTGTAAGAATAGACACAAGGAAAAAGAATAGAGATTCCAGAAGTAGACCCACAAATATGCAGTTGATTTTTGACAAAACAATTCAAAAGCGAAGTCTTCAACAAATGATGCCAGACGACTAAATATAGGCTTCCCCTGCTATCTGAAAGTAGAGTGTTCCTGTGAAAACTTTTGTAAGCTGAGATCAGATGTAAAGAAGCAATGACCACTGACTTATATGGAAAAAATTTTTGAATATTCCCAGATCCAAAAAGTAGCCTCTTTTAGGCCTTTCTGAAATCTTAGGGACACATCTTGCTAACGGATGCACAGAATAAGTCAAGATAAAGCACGGATGGTCATAGACACAGTTCAGAGCTGAGGCAGCTGGATGCTGAGATGCTGGGTTTAGTTCCCAGGGATGGAGCTTGGGGGTCACTCTCACTGCTTGGGGTGCACGCTGCCTCTGGGACAGCTCCACAGCTCACTGCAGAACAAACGCTAAACACTCTTTTCACTTTTTACCTTTTTTCATAAAAGTGAAAACCGTCCTCGTATCTCTTTCAGTTAGCAAAAAACAGGTATTAATGTAGGTCTTTCAAAAAAGTGAGGTGCGGGGCGCCTGGGTGGCTCAGTTGGTTAAGCGACTGCCTTCAGCTCGGGTCATGATCCTGGAGTCCCGGGATCGAGTCCCACATCGGGCTCCCTGCTCGGCAGGGAGTCTGCTTCTCCCTCTGACCCTCCTCCCTCTCATGCTCTCTGTCTCTCATTCTCTCTGTCTCAAATAAATAAATAAATAAATAAATAAATAAATAAATAAATAAATAAATAAATAAATAAAAGTGAGGTGCTTGTGAAAAGCAGGGAATACCTGTATCCAGATTTTTTTTTAAATGAGGTTTAATCCTTGTGTAGTATCATACACAAATTTTAGTTTTTGATGGGTCTAGAAGGGGACAAAGCACTACATTAAAGAATCAGGAAATTTGACCCCAAACTGACCTTGCCAAAGGTCACCTCTCTGGATTTGTTTCTTTACCTGCTAAATTAAAGGATTTATGCTTGATAATCTTTTCATTTCTTCTAGTTCCCAAGTTGATTTTAGTCCAGTATTATCATGGTATATAATTATGTCTTTTCTTAAAGTTTTTGCTTGTCTATAATCCATTTTCTCTCAAGATGTGGGCCCTCCTACACATGTTCATGCCTTGCAGGAGGAGAGGTGAGTGGTGCTAGAGGAGTCAGAATTCAGGGACAGGCCTTCTCATGACATGGGGAGCATGTTGGCTGCAAGGGTATGCTGCTTGGGACATCTTTCAGCTCAGTTCATCACTCAGTAAACATCCTATCCAACACCACACTCTTCAGCAAAAGGGATGACTTTCTCAGGCAAAGGGACCCAGGATATTGTAGCTGTCCCCCTCCCACCCCCACCCCCCAGCTGCCATATCCAAGCATTCAGAGCCTATTGAAGGAAAGTACAAGGATATGAGTTTCTATTTTCTGCACCCTTCCCTAGGCCTTGACACAAGACTGCCCTGCGTCCCCTTCTGTTACACCCAACCTAACTTCCATCCAAGTCCCATTCAAAATGCTTTTGCTTTTAAAGCATGGCTTCTTAGCACTTGGAGAGCAACTATTTTTTAAGTTAACCCAAATTTATTATCCTCCGAAGAAAATGTCTGTTTTGTAATAGAAGGCCTAAAGATGTCATTGCCTTATAACAATAGTTCTAGACAATTTTTGCTGGGATATTTTTGCCAAGGGAGGAGAAAGAAGACATTCACTGATGGCCCACGAGTCCCACAACACAAGCCGCTTCCTCCTTCACTTCTGTTGAGGGCTACTTCCTATAGGGCAAGTGACGATGGTTGGGCAAGCCTAGTATCTTCTCTAAACTTGATTTTCCTGCTCTGCCACATTCACAGAATTATCATAAGGTTCCAGTGATAGAATATATAAAAATCACTTTGAAACCCCCGAAATTACTGGTCTTTCTTCCTTTCTTACTCTATATACTATCCCTAAGTGATGTCAGCCTTCAGCCAACGACTGTCAGAAGATGATTCCAGAATCCATCTCTCAGTCCTAATCTGTCTCCCGAGCTCCACTGCATTGTGGACTTCCCTTCCATGTCCCAGGGGCACTGCATGTTCTAAATCTACAGAGTGAGCTTCAAATGAAACGTGTCACCTGCGCGGGGTTCTGTCAGCTGAAGGTGCTCAGAAAACACTTCCCTGATCTATTAATTTACTGAGCCTTTCCTCTGTGGTTCATTAGGTCTGTAGTGTCCTGGAGAGTTTAGAGCAAGAATACCGGAGAGACGAGGACTGGTGTGGCGGACGAGATAAACTGGGGCCAGCAGCCGAGATCGACCATGTCATCCCACTCATCAGCAAACATTTGGAACAAAAGGAGGCCTTTCTTAAGGTCAGAGCACACTGTCAATCCAAGGTCACACACACACACACACATACACTTCATCATATGGGCTTTCCATCCACCTGTTTTTCCTCATTTCTTATCTAAAGGGAGGCATTTATAGAGATGATATTGGCTAGTTAATTTGAAAGGCTGAAAAGTTATGCTTCCAACGTTATTTATTTCTCTCAGCACTTTCTATATAATTAGACAGTTATATACCATTCCTGCAGGGGCCATGTTCAAATATCTTAATATCCCATTGATGTTGGTAATTGAGAAAAACACATAGTTTCACCCAGTTATGTTTGGTTTATGAAAATATTTTCAATTGAAATATATAAGCCTTGGGGGCACCTGGCTGGCTCAGTCAGTAGAGCATGCAAACTCTTGATCTCAGGGTCCTGAGTTCGAGCCCCCATGTTGGGTGTAGGGATAACTTAAAATAAATAAATTTATATATATATATGTCTAGATATAAAGCAGTATTAAAATAAATATTTTATAAATGGATGATGCAAAATTTAGGGCAAAAATTAAATAAATTTAGACACCTTATTTATTTGCCAATCTAACAATTATCAATAACCAATAGCTGTAACACCATTTATTCTGTTGCATGAAGAGAAAAATACCTCATCTTGTTTCTTTTGTTCTTAATAGAGCCCCGGCTTCTCAGGGAAGAAGCACAGTCCTGCTCTGAGCAGGCTTTCAGCTAGTGTGGAAAGTCCTAGTAAGCCTCTTTCTGCCAGCCTTTGATCATCTCTCTGACAGATTCGTCTGTGTTAAAACTTATCTAAAGGCTCTGTTTACTCTCAAATTTCTTGCTTTCATGTTCTGCTTCCTTTCAGGTCTCTGAGAGTACAAAGAGAATTTTTATACCCTGACATGTTGCCACTGCTTTTCTATAACTCTGTAATTAACTGACTTTCTTTTATTAGGGATTTTCTCTACTTGACCACCCCTTTGAGTTTCACTTTTTTTCCCTCTCACCCTCTCTTTTTGAGATGGCTTCTCCCTACCCTCCTCCTATCTATCAGGTGTCTGCACCTGAAATCAATCAAAACCCTTAGTAATCAGCTCTTACCAATAAGATTAAATAAAAAGGCTTTATACCGGGCTTAAGAGATTTTAAAAGTCTTCAGTACCATAAAACAACGTTTAAAACAATGACTGAAAGAGAGCATATGACTTTTAAAAGACGTATAAAGATACTACTTCATAAACTTACATGTTTCTTTTGAAGAATGGAAGAAGAAAATGTTCTGGTCTAATGTCTTCTGTACATGCCTAAAAGCATAGGTGAGAAACTCTCTGTTGCTGTGGGAATTAAATGCCCGATGGATGGAACATTGAGCTGTTCCATTTAAATGTATTAGTTGATCTGTGTTGGATACCTTAGCTTTGGAGCACCATCCACGTGCTCACTTCGGCAGCACATACACTAAAATTGGACCACCATCCAGCTGTTAAGTTCATGGACCTCATAATAGATGGACCCACCCAACAGCCTTTTACCAGAGCTCCCAGAAACCCCTACTGTTAATGCAAAACTTAAAATAATTTTTTACTATGTAATTTATAGAATCAGTTGTTAAACATAAAAAGGTATTAAAGTTTGACAGTTTGGTCTAGATAATATTGGAAACTGTAGATTGAAAATTATTGGACTAGGGTAAATAGCAGTCCCCCTTATCGATGAGGAATATGTCCCAAGACCCCCAGCGGATGCCGGAATCTGCGAATAGTGTTGAACTCTATATATACCATGCTTTTCCCTACTCATATACACCTATGATAAAGTTTAGTTCATAAATAAGTCGCAGTAAGAGATGAACAACTGATAATAGATAACTGATAAAGAGAACAACTATGACAATATACTGTAATAACAGTTATGTGAGTATGGTCTGTCCCTCAAAATAACCTCACTGGACTGTCCTCATCCTTCCTGTGATGGGGTCAGATGATAAAATGCCTGCGTGGCGAGACGAAGTGAGGGGAATGGCGTAGGCACTGTGATGTAGCAATAAGCTACTTACTGGCCTGACAATACATCAGGAGGACCACCTGCTTCGGGACTGCAGTGGATTGTGGGTGACGGACACTGCAGATGAAAACCGTGGATAAGGGGAGACTTATACTGTCTCCAGACTCATACAACGGAAAAAATTCTGCTCTTTAAAGAAATTCAGAAATTCTGTGGTCTTGAGAGAAACTAGAAATACTCTGTCCATAGTCCTAGATTCCAGCCCAGGTGTGCTTCATGATTGCTCCCTTTCTGGGCCTGGCTCTCCTCCGTGGGCACAAGGAGAGTGTGACCTGTCCTCTCTGCCACCCACAGCTGATGGGAGGCATAAAGAGGGTAGTGTAAGGGCTCTTATTCCTGTGTGTGGATCCGATATTTTCCAGCAGCAGGATATTAGTGTTATTGAGGTGGGGGTGGATTTTAAGGACAGATAAGTTTTTTAAATGTGGGTGACTTCCATTTAGATAGGGAATGTATGGTTAATAGGCTTGTTTACCAAATTTGCTTTCTGGAGTCTAAATTAAACAAATGTGAGAGTGGCTTACTCCCGTCGTCCTCTAAGAGGCATTCTGGTGACAGAGGAAGGCCAGCCTGAGACGTTAGTACCTATGACCTTAGTCATACTGAATCAGCAGAGAGGCAGTCAAGGGATGGCTGCATTCTGATTTTTCTCTGGGATGGGAAGGGGGGGAGAGGCCCAAGGAGTAATTCTTTACGCCACAAAAGGGTGAGCCTCCCGCACTGAAATGGGAGTGTCTGTGAACCAGAAGTGGCCTCCGGGGCTCTGCTCACCCAGAGCTCCAGAAATTTCTCCACCAACACCCCTTCCACAGGGTCTCAGAGCCCATGGCCCTGCTGGGGTCCTCACGCCTCGGTCTCTTTCAGGCCTGTACCCTGGCACGGCGGAACGCGGAGGTGTTCCTCAAGTACATCCACAGGAACAACGTTAGCATGCCCAGTGCCGCCGGCCACACCCGGGGACCTGAGCAGCAGGTGAAAGGTCAGTGCGGGCGTCCGACCGCGAGTCGCGTCAGCAGCACAGACCGGATGCTGCACACCTGGTCGCTATGCGCTCCCGCATCTCCTGCTGCTTCTCCTCCAATAAGAAGACATTCGATGTGGGGTGGCATGGGCTGTGGGGATTCAGGGGCAATGTTTAAACGTGCATCGGGATTGGGAAAAGGAAAATGAAGATAAAATTTCCCTAGCACTTTTTCGTTCATCTTGATCTTAGAGCAGCACTTAACAGGATTTTCTGAAGGAACAGACATGGTCTTATATCTACACGGTGCATATAGAAGCCACTAGTCGAGTGGGCGCAGAGCACTTGACTCATGTGGCTGATGCAACTGAAGAACTGAATTTTTCCTTCTACTGGATATTAATTAGTTTAAATGTAAGTAGCCAGACGTGCTAACGTATTAAGAAGCACAGACTAGGCTATCTTACAGCCTGGAAACGAGACACAGACTGAGAATCGTAAAACCAAGTTCTATTACATTTTTACTTACTGTGTGAGCTTTTAAAACTTCAGTTCTCTTACTTTAAAATGAAGGGCGTCTGAACTCTTGCTCATGAAAATGTGGCCCCCGGACTAGCAGCCCTGGCATCACCTGGGAGTGTGTAAGAAACAGGACCTCAGGCCCTGCCTTAGACCTACTGAATTAGAAGCTGCATTTTGGCAAGAGCTCCTGCCAACCCCAACCGGATGATTTGTACACACATAAAATTTAGCTAAGTACTGGTCTAGAAGTCTTTAATCTCTCTCTGAATTCTATAAAGTGTACAATTACATGAAAAAATCAGTAACCTTTAATAATTGCTAATTATGTGACCACATTAAGCTTAAATTATCGGTGGTATCACTTATGCTGGACCATGCAGAAATTAGCCTTTGAGTGGGTGAGGAATTTTTTTTTTTTTAAGATTTTATTTATTTATTTGACAGAGACAGAGACAGCGAAAGCAGGAACACAAGCAGGGGGAGTGGGAGAGGGAGAAGCAGGCTTCCCGCTGAGCCGGGAGCCCGATGTGGGACTCGATCCCAGGACCCTGGGATCATGACCTGAGCCGAAGGCAGTCGCTTAACCAACTGAGCCACCCAGGCGCCCGAGTGGGTGAAGAATTTAACAAATGTCATCTCAACACAGCAGAGGGCTCCCAGCCTGGAGACCGAGGCCAGGGAGGGAGCTGAAACTGACTTGGAGTGAGGGGTGGGGCAGGCCCAGGGCTGCAGAGCTGATAGTGGGAGGCGCTGCTCAGGGAGCTCGGGAGGTGGCAAGATCAGAGGCCACTGGGAAGAATTAAATTTAGGAATAAAATTCTCTACAGAGAAGAGGGAGGCAGGGTTCCTCTCCCAGATGTGCTCCCCGTTTGAGGTCCAGGGACCCTGTGGCTGGCTGGCCCATCCTGCATGCTGCAACGCTTGTGTTCTGACTTAGTGATTCAGGCAGCCATGTGGGGGAGGCCAGCAGCCTGCTGAGCGAGCACATGCCCCCCCCATACCTCAGCGTGCCGCAAGCGTCAGACTCCCAGAAAGAGCAGGATATGCTGCACCTTCATGGGGGTGAGGGCAGGTTGTTGTCCTTGGGAAAGCTTTCCAGAAGGGGAGAAATGAAATCTGAAACTCGTCAGGATTTTTGCCTGATCAGGGTTGATTCTCTTAACCACGCTGTAAGATTCTGCAGTGAGCAAAGCTCTGATTAGGAGACAAAAAGATTAAAGTAAACACTGGTTCTCACTTGTCTTTGCCCAATTGAGGCTTCCATCTGAGCAGGGACCTACAATCTCTCCTATACCCATTTCTTTTCTACCCGCTGCCTGGACCTAAGGCCAGTGCCACTTATTTTAAGTTTTTGTTAAAGGCGCAATTATTATGGCATAACAACCAAAAACACAGTGACATACGACTGTCAGCATTTATTGTTCAAGTCACTGTGCATTGGCTGGGGATCAGCTGTCTTGGCCGGGTTCAGCAATGCGGTTCTGCAAGCCTGGCTGCCTTAGGGCCTCACTACAGGGTGGAGTCTTGTCTGCTCCACATGTATTCATTCTGGGACCTCAGTTGAAGAAGGGGTTACCCAGGAAAACTCTTACAGTGATGAGGGCAAGGTCAAGGGCACAAGCACACTAAATTCCTGCTTGTATAATATCTGTTAACAACCCCTGTACCGGAGCAAGTCACGTGGCTGAGCCCTAGGGCGGGGGTGAGGAGACTCAATTTGTCTCTTTGGGGAGGATCTAAAAAGTTACATAATAAAGGCATGGATATAGGGATTGGTGGATAATTGAGACCTGTGAAAGTTCTCAGCCTAAGGGAAGAGAGACAGATTTTGTCCTGAGAGAATCAAACTTCCAAGAGGATGCATGAAAAGTTCTAAGTACAAGCACTGCAAATTGGTTGTACCCTTTCTTAAAAAAATTTTTTATTGAAATGCAATTTAGTTAACATATAGTGTATTACTAGTTTCAGGGGTAGAATCTAGTGATTCATCAGCTGCATATAACACCCAGTGCTCATCACATTAGGTGCCCTCCTTAATGCCCATCGCCTGGTTACCCCATCCCCCTACCCCCTTCCCCTCCAGCAACCCTCAGTTTGTTCCCTTATAGTCAAGAGTCTCTTACGGTTTGTCTCTCTCTGTTTTTATCTTATTTTTTCCTTCTCTTCCCCTATTTATCTGTTTTATTTCTTAAATTCCACATATGAGTGAAATCATATGGTATTTGTCTTTCTCTGACTGACTGATTTCACTTAGCATAATACTCTCTAGTTCCATCCACATCATTGCAAATGGCAAGATTTCATTGTTTTTGATGGCTGAGTAAGATTCCATTGTAGATATATACCACATCTTCTTTATCCATCTGGGCTCTTTCCATAGTTTGGCTATTGTGGACATTGATGCTATAAACATTGGGGTGCAGGTGCCCCTTTCTATAAAGCACAGTAGTCTGTGCTTCACAGCCCCTATAGCCCAGAGGACCAAGGCTGCTAAGGACTCAGGCTCTGAAGTCAAACATTCCTATCTGAATGACCCTGGGTAAGGTACCTGCCCTCTCTGAACCTCACTTTCTTCATCTGTAAATGGAGGTAATAAAGGCACGTGCATCACAGGGGAGTTGACGTGAGAATATGTGCCTGCCACAGAGTGAGTGCTTAATAAATACTGATTTTTCGTACCATCGTTATCATGTACTAGTATCTAACAGAGTTAGCAGGAAGCCGGAGGCAGACATAATACAGACTAAATGTGAGTGCTTCCAGCCTAGAGCACACTGTTAAAACACATAGGGAATCTGGGCACGTGGCCAGCTGCTGCTGCAGTGACAGGAGGAGGGAGAGACTGGACACGGATGGACACCTGCCGTGGCCCACCATGGGGCTACATGCCTTGTGCATGTCCTCTCACCTGACATCACTGGAGGTAACACGAGGAAAGCTCTCACCTTTTCTTATGATCAGATCGCAACAACACAGAAACTTGGACCTAGAGACGTGATTCTAGGTGGACGCAATTCCAACACAGCTCCCCTTCGCTCGTGACTTAGGGGTCGTGCTCTTCCGGTGCCGTGTGCACCGCCTCCTGTACAGGGCACAGAGTGGGGCTCGTGAGCCGGGTTGCCCATGCAGTTACTCTGGTCCTCACGCTCTTGTTCCTCTCCCACCCTCTCCCAGAACCCAAGAGGGGCTGGGATTCTTATCAAGTCCCCTTGCTGTCCATAGGCTCCAGGGGCCAAGTGAGTTAGTTGTCATTTTAAGAGCGGACACTTCCCAAGGTCTCTTACTATCAGGGATTGGTTTTGGGGTGAAGAGAATCAGGGTCACCTTTAAGTTCCCCTGGGGGCATGCTCTTCCTCCCTTCACTGATGGAACCTCTTCAACAGTTTCCCGCCTCAGTCCCTCTGATGTTGCTCCCCTCTGGGAAATGCTTTCTGGTCCTCACTTCGGGTACCTGGATTGGTCCCCTGGGGAGGCGGGACAGTCTCAGGTGTCTGGCAGCTGGGGTGTGCAGTGCAAGCAGCCAGCCAGACTTGTTTGGGGCCTTCCCGAGCCAGTGCCCCTCTCCTCTGCCCCACAGCCATCCTGAGCGAGCTCTTACAGAGGGAGAACCGCGTCCTGCACTTCTGGACCTTGAAGAAGCGGCGGTTAGACCAGTGCCAGCAATATGTGGTGTTTGAGCGCAGCGCGAAGCAGGTATTTCCGCGGCTCTCCCGGCTTCGCCTCCGTTCGGGGCACTGTGCGGACGCCCAGCTGGCCACAGCATGGGACAGTCCGGAAGAGGGTCATGGAGGCAGGCAGAGTAGACACGGGAGGCGGTGCTGACGAAAGGAAGGAGAACGGACTGTCACTTACCCGTCAGTCAGCCTTTACCAAGCACGTTGTACCAGGAGTTGGGAGGAGATGCTGGGCTTAAATGGCCCCTAACCCGTGGACGATGCTGGGCCTGGACTAGAAGATGAGGGCTAGTGGATGAGATGCTGTCTTTACTGGTAGGCTATTCCGAGTCTAACAGGAGAGGGCTCAGTCAGCTATCTGCTGAGTGAATGTGCCAGTATTTCCCGGGTCTGTCACACTGTCCCAAACAGTGTGGCAGTGCATGTTTTCCTAAGGATAACTGACTTTTGGGGGACTGGTGGGCTGTCTCCTCCCACAGGCGCTGGACTGGATCCAAGAAACAGGTGAATATTACCTGTCAACACATACCTCCACTGGAGAGACCACAGAGGAGACTCAGGAACTGCTGAAGGAATATGGGGAATTCAGGGTGCCTGCCAAGGTAGGAAGCACTCGGGAGCCCACCCCGCATCCACCCAGCACTCCCCAGTCTGGCCAGGTTCATGTTATGGAAGGGAGAGCAGCCCCTCCACACTGGAATGCTGACCACAGGGCGGGTGGGGACGCACAGGTAGGGTGATCTCCTTTGAAACCTGAACACCCAGAGAATTGCAGCTGTTGGTTGGAGCATCTGTGTGAGGGAAGTCAGTTCCTCTACACTGTGCTTCCAGGTCTAGACTCGGCTGTATTCTTTCAGACCCAGTAAGGCAGAGGGATGTATTCATGTGAAATGCACACTGCATGTGTGAACATCTGCACCTATCTGCATATTCTTGATGTTTGAATGGTTTGGGAAGTCTGCCTTCTAGGCCGATGACTATGGATGGGTTCACAAAGCAGGTGAGTGTCTTACTTCCTGAGCTGACTACTTCCGTCTGGCCTCAGACCTGCAAACGGGCCAGGCTGGGGTCTCTGGGGAGCAAAATATGCATTGGCACACACACCCACACCCTCACACCCCCACTCACACGGAGGCGGGAAGTGCTAGGGTAGGAGGAAATGTGTTTTCACAGCCAGGATTTGATCTGAGGACCCTTGGGTTGGAATGAGAATCTGATCTGTTTCCGTTGGCTCTTTGTAGCGTCTTCATCCCTCACACTGGGCTCCCTGCCATGGAGGAGCCTGTCTTGGCATCGCTTTCTCCACGGCAGATGCTCTCCCCGGATGAGAGCTGCTTTTGTGGGGCATCACGGCATGGGCGGGGGGAATGTATTAATGCCCATCCTCCCCCAGAGAGCCCTCCGACACTAAAGGCAAGTTTCCTCCAGTTTGCTGTGACAAAATTAGGCCCTCAGCCTCATTCCTGAACGTATCCTTCAGAAGGGGATATTCACTTTATGACTCCTACACTATGAACTTTTGATAGTGGGAAACCTTCCCCGCATCCCTGTGAGCTTTGGGGCCTTTCCATCCGATGTGGAAGGCTGTCACTTTAGATAAGAGACTCATTTCAGTACCAGCTAGAACAGACAGCACTAGGAAGGTGACAGATACACGGAACTCTTTTCAAATCTAAATGAAAATAGCTTTTGAATTACCTACTTTGTGTCTATCTGCCCCTCTCCAAATAGAGTCAATAATGAATCGTTGACAAGCTGAATAGTATCAGATCCACTGGTGTTCCTACCCACATAGGATGGATTGTAGTAGAACTTCTTAGGATCAGAATCTGTTCATAACCTAAGTGGAAATGTAGAGAATTATTTAGTCCATTTAAAAATCTTCCTTCCGTCTTTCTTCCCTTTTCCATTCGTGTTGTAACCACTGTAATAGGGTTCCATGCTTGTGGCCTTTCCTTCCTTCCCATCCATCCATCCTGCTCATCATTGCTGTTCATCTTTAAGACACTGGGTGGGTCATATTACCACCCAGTCCAAGAACTTCAGTGATTCGCCAGCGCCTTCAGGTGAACAACCTCCACAATGGCATGACCTTACCTCCCCAGCTTTATCTTCATTACTCTTTCGTGTAAATGTTATGCTCCAGCTGAATGGATGTATTTTCCTACCCTCTGAGAGATACATCATATACTTTCTTGCTTCTGTACCTCCTCTATATGATTTTTCTGCCTACAATATCATTTTCTTCCTTCTAGTTTATACTTTTTAAAAAGAGCGCACCTTTCTACTGGACTGCCTCCTCCTTTGTTGATCCTGCTGACATGCCAGGCTGTGATCTGGCCCATCCCTGCACTCTAGCCCTTGTTGTCTGTCTGGCCCTTAAGGGACCTGCCATGAACTGTCCTGTTCTCCAGTAATCTGTGTCAAGTGTTATCTCTGATGTGAGCCAGCAAGATCCCAAAGGATAAGAACCACACTTTATTCACTTACGTGACTGAATCATGCATTGAAGAGAGGCTGCAAACACTTGTGAACCTGGGGAAAAAAGAAGTTTGAGTAGATTTCAACAACTTCCTTCCCCAAATCTGTATTTAATATGATTCTATTACTTTGGCTCTCTCTGTTCTCTATGCCTCCTAACTTAACTCCGCAGTAGGGTTTCATTTTCCCTTCTAACATGTTCCAGTCCTTGGGGCCATTTGTTATTAGGATATCTACAGGGTAACAAATCCAGCTGAAGAGCTTCTGATAAAAGGGCAATAGCCTCCTATTCCACTCCAGTCCCACTTCCCAGAGGCAAGCCTCCTTTAACCAGCCATCTTTAATTGTAATCCTTGCAACCAGTAAAATGAATTTGAAATGGAAGCCAAATTGACCTTAAACCACAAGAGGATACATATGGTGGCCTTCACAACTAAACAGGGCAATAGAGCATACTGAGTGTACTGAATTACTATACTCTGCTCCAAAGAAGCAGATCAAGTAGAAGGAACACTGAATATAAAAAGGTACTTTCTACATAGCAATCCACAAGTATAAGAATAAAAATAAGATAAAGAGAATTTGGGTGGGGATAAGAGGATAACAAAATTTTTCTTATTGCGGTAGGCCGTAGAAAATCCAGTTAGAAGAATACACAAGATGTTTTCGTATTGTGGGTTTCAAAAATTTTATAAGGGGTCAAGGCACATGATGATAGGAAAGCTTAATCATCTTGACAGCTGGAAGAAATCTATTTCTTTCTAATAGCAAAACTTTTTTTTTTTTTTTTAGGTTCTTTGGTTTTTTGATTTTTTACAATTCAGTGGTTTTGGTGTATTCACAAGGTTGTGCAACCATTGCCACTAACTAGTTCTAGAGCATATTCATCACCCCCAAAACAAACCCCTCACTCCCCATTCCTTCCTCTCCTCAGGCCTGGAACTACTAGTCTATTTTCTGTCTTTGTGAATTTGCCTATTCTGGAGATTTCATATAAACAGAATCATGGAATCAGATAATATGTGGTCTTTTGTGTCTGGCTTTTTTCCCTTATCATAATGTTGTCAGGGTTCATCCATGGTGTTAGCATGGATGAACCCTGACATTCCTTTGTGTGGCTGAATAATATTCCATTATAAAGATAGGCCACATGTTGTTTATCCATTCATCAGTTGATGGACATTTGGGTTGTTTTCAGTTTTTGGCAACCATGAACAATGTTGCTATGAATATTTGTACACAAGCCTTTGTGTAAACATATTTTTTTCAGCTCTCTTAGCTATCTACCTAGGAGTGAAAGGGCTGAGCCATATGGTGACTCTTTGTTTAACTTTTTGAGGAGCTGCTGACCTGTTTTCCGAAATGGCTATGCCATTTTCCATCCCCACTGGTGGTGTGTGAGAGTTCCAACTTCTCCACGTCCTCTCCAACACTTGTTATCATTCGTCTTTTTAATATAGCCATCCTGGAGGGTGTGAAGTGGTATCTCATCAGGGTTTTAACTTACATCTCACAATGAGGAATGATGTTGAGAAAAACACTTTTCTAAACTGGTCATTTTATCTCTGAAAGTGAAAGAAGCTTTGAGACAAATTGGACTTAATTCTTTTTTTTTTAATTTTATTTTATTATGTTATGTTAATCACCACACATTATTCTTCTTAACAAGAGAGAATTAAATGATAACAAAAGTGACTGGAGCCTGAGCTGAACTAAATTAGGTAATTCAGGACTTCAGGCCATGAGGAAAGGGGACACTGGGCTTGTCAGACAGGTGCGTTAGACTGAGAAAAGGAGAATAGGAACAGTTCAGGTAAAAGGTGGGCATTCTGTTTCTGAGACTCAAGAGGAATATAGCTCACATGTGATAGACATTTTTGAAATATTTAGTTTCTCATATATAATGACAAACTCTCCCCTCTGGAATGAATATGAAGATATATCTCAAGAGAACTGTTTATCCACATCAGGAAGCTCAATAAGTTCCTAGCTACAAAGAATGTATCAGTAAATACAAGGAATATCAGCAATGAAAGGCAAATTGGAAGATGATAATGAGATTACAAGAATAACATCAAGAAGGCTAAATCTTAAAGACTTGTGAGATGTGCAAAAGACACCGAAAGGACTTTTTATAAACTGTATTCAGAGTAGGGTTCACTGATTAGGGAAAGATGGTATGATATTAACTGATCAAAGGAAGGAAGGAAGAGAAAGGGGGGGAAAAAGATGAAAAATAGAACTACTGACCCCTTCTTTTTCACCTCTGAGTTTTCTATCAGATTACATAGAATTCAAAACAGAAAGAGCAAAACATACATTATAGGGGACCCATGAAGCCCAAGATAAGTGGAGATGTCTGTTCTAGATTTCCAGGTCCAAATGAATTATATTCCCTAAAGACTACCTTTTGTCCACTAGATCAGTCCCATACTTCTGACCCTACCATTCAGAGGCCTCTGCAATCTGACCCCCATTTTATCAGTCTAGATAAGTTACTCTGTTTTGGTGGCAAGATTTGAGTTTCAAATTGGTTTGAGTTATGAAAGGGAAAAGATATTGTGTGGCTATATGTGGAAACAGAGAAGCCATGGCTGGACCTCCCAGGAGTCCAAGAAAATCCGAGTGACTTTGGCCTCATGGGCAGAACAAGAAATGTTATATAGTCTCACCTCTGGACGTGAAAGCTACACCAAGGGCAGTTCCAGCAACCCCCCTGCCTGATCATGTCATGACAGGGGATCAGGAATATGTGATCACTGTTACGATTCAGCTTGCCCTTCTCATCTCGTTTCTGCTGCCTGTGTTTTCACTTCTACCCTGCAGCCACCTACCGACTTCCCTATGCAGTTCAAATCCCCAGAAAAACAACCCTAACTGACCCAGCACATTGCCCTTGTCCCTGTTTAGATGGAGATTTTAGGCCAGGAAGCCACAGAAGTCAGTGGCTGCATCTTGACGGACTGCCCAAGTGAGACAGGTTTTTACCTCTGATCACATCAGCTGTGGCCAAGCATGTGGCAGCTCATGTGGTGCCCCCATGGTCACTCGTTTGTAAGAAATCACTTCAGACTACTCTCAGTAGGTGCTGTGGGCATGGTTGGGGTCCAGTGTATGGGTCGGATTTTTTCATCTCATTCTTCCCAATATAAACCCTCAATTCTTGCTGGTCCAGCTTTACTTACCTCCAAACACAGTATTTACTCACTAATTCACTTACTCAGCATTTATAGTATGCCTACTATTTTCTAGACTTTGGAGATACAAATGAATAAGATGTAACACTTCTAGAAGTGCATGGTCTGACGGAGACATATAAGTAACTCACGGTGTGGCAGTGTGGGGACACTGGAAAGGGCATTCCCCACTCAGCTTGTGCGGAGGAGAGGAGATGAAAGAGGGCCATTGGATAGAAAGCGAGGATGAGTAGGAACCACCCCTCACAGCGGGAAGAGCACATGAGGTTTGGCATGGCTGGTGTTTAGGGGCCATGGAGAGCATGGCAGCTAAGGTATGCCAAAGGTAGGTGAGGCCACATAGGGAGGGCTTGCCTACACCACCCAATTTACTGTCTGTTTGCTCCCCCAGGTTCCACACATAGCTGGAATACACTTGATCACAAGGCATTCTCCTTGTTGCATCTGAATTACAGTTTCCATGTTTCAGAATATGATTTCTGGTGATGGAGCTGCCGGGAGGGCTGGGCTGCCACCAGCTGGATGTAAAACCCTGATTTCATGCCCAAGTCTCCTCACTGAGAGCAGAAAATACCTATTTTCAAGAGTTTTATGTAAAGATTTCTTGATTATGGCTGCAAAAAAATTAATCTCTGCTTTAAATAAATAGCAAACCTTATAACAGTTTTTTTCAGAGGGAAAAAAAAAACCCCACCTAAATGCAGTAAGCTCTACAAGTCCTTAGGCTACCAGGGGTCTTTTCTTAACCAATTTCCAGTGCTGTTTTTCTTTGCCTTATCATGGTTGAGGAGCTACTTCTGCTATCCTCAGACCCACCTTCTTCCCTTCACGACAAAGCTCTTCTGGGCCCTTGTCTCCCAGCCTGGGGACCAGCCCGCTGTCCTGAGATAGGAGAGGCTCGAAGGTGGGAGCTGCTGGAGAGCTGGAGCCCACATCTCCCAGGCCTTGCTTGCATTTCCGGTCAGAAGCTATCCCTCCCTGGCATTTCTTGAAGGTTGGGGGGAGGGGTCATTCTCTTGTGGGAGGTCTGTAGATGAGCCTAGAAAGAGAGGGAGGAGGGTAGAGTAAAGAAAGGCTCTTCTGTCTGTTCTACTGTTGCTCCAGAGATTTTTCTGCCTCAGTTTCCCTCAGCTCTCTAGATTCTAGCATGATCCAAAACCTGAATCTCCGGGACACCTGGGTGGCTCAGTCGGTTAAGCGTCTGTCTGCCTTCAGCTCAGGTCATGATCCCAGGGTCCTGGGATGGAGTCCCGCATCAGGCTCCTTGCTCAGTGGGGAGTCTGCTTCTCCCTCTGCCCCTCCCCCCCCGCTCATGCTCGCACTCTTTCTCTTTCTTTCAAATAAATAAGTAAAATCTTAAAAAACAAAAACAAAACAAAACAAAAAAACCTTGAATCTCCTCTCCTCCAATCCAAAAGGTAATAATTTTATTTCTCAGAATATCATTTAAATATTCTTTCCTTTTTCTTAAAATTAATCAAGCTTCCCTGATCTTGGAGTTTCAAAATGGAATCTTAGGATAAAAGATGAGCAAGTGTTTACTTCTTTGAACATCTCCTTTGTTTCCATATCTTACCCAACGTAAGTCCCTCCTCCCCACAGGACCTTTCGTGCCCATGACAACCCACCTTCCTTTTTTTCCTGTTTTATTTTTTTTTTTTAAAGATTTTTTATTTATTTATCTGAGAGAGAGAATGGGAGACAGAGAGCATGAGAGGGGGAGGATCAGAGGGAGAAGCAGACTCCCTGCCGAGCAGGGAGCCCGACGCAGGACTCGATCCCGGGACTCCAGGATCATGACCTGAGCCGAAGGCAGTTGCTTAACCAACTGAGCCACCCAGGCGCCCCCTTTTTTTCCTGTTTTAAAATTCCTGCAGTGTTAACTCCACATACTTCTCATGTTGACATTCAATTTCATAATGCCCTGAGTTCTTTAACCACTCTGCATGACAATCTTGTCCCCTCTAGAGATAATAGACTGTTTGGGGAAAATGAGTATCTTTTTCTCTTCTTTTATTTACCCCCCAAGCCTGTCCCCACAGCCCTCTGCACAATGGTGTAGACAGAGTAAGTGTTGAACAAACTCTTGCTGGAAATGAAATTAATCCAATACACATCAAAACTACACCTTACTCAGCCACATAATAGATACTAGCTTCATTAACTCTTCTCTCTCTCTTCTTATCTCTCTCTCTCTAATGGAAACTAAAGACAAGATCCTAGTGGTGAAAGGGACAGACTTTACTCTTAATCTGCTAATTGAGTTTCTTTAGATCCTGGCATGTGCCACCTTAGCTGTTGACAAAGCCTACCTTCAGGCCAGTGCAGTGAAGGGAGAGAACAAGGCACTGTGGTCCAGAAGCCAACAGGCTCTATCATTCACTTACAGGTGGTATGAACTTGGACAAGCCCTAAGCCTCTCTAAGCCTCAGCTTTTTTCATCTATGGTTCAAAGAGATCCACACCACCTCCTTCCACCCACATTGTAGAGATGCTTTAAGACTCAAATGAGTCTCAGATGTGACGTTAACATATTCTGTGACCTGCTAAGGGGCCGTATTAATGCACGAGATGCTTAACAGTAATCATGTTGGCTAACATATATTGCTTCCTGAGCTCTTAACGTGAGCACCACGTCCCGGGCACTGTTCTGAGCATTCTACATTGTCAACTCATGAAATGCTCACAACAACCCTATGATGGAGGATTATTATGATCCCTGTTTTGCAGATAAAGGAACTGAGGCACAGAGGATTTAAGTAGTTTGTTCAAGACCTCCCAGCTAGTGACAGAGCTGGGCTATAAACCCAGGCAGGCAGTGAGGTATCTGTGGCTGCTGTGAAGAAAAGGGGATGGGAGTGAAAGGCCATGAGAGTAAATGTAATCTAGTAACATGAGACCATCTTTTGGGACAGCAAACAAAGGAGAAGGTGAAGCTTCTGATTCAACTGGCCGATAGCTTTGTGGAAAAAGGCCACATTCATGCCACGGAGATCAGAAAATGGGTGACCACGGTGGACAAGCATTACAGAGACTTCTCCTTGAGGATGGGAAAGTACCGGTACTCCCTGGAAAAAGCGCTAGGCGTCAACACAGAGGTAGGCATGGGCGCTGCCCACCTGGGACACCCGTCCTTCTCGTCTCTCTTGGCACTGCGGTTCTCATTACCATGGAAGAAAGTGGGCTCTCCAGAGCAGGCTTTCTGAGCTCTTGACCCCTAGAACGCTTGCCTTGTGTGATTTTTCTAGTGGGGGGGATGGATCTTGATGAGCCATTGGCCTCCAGCCCCGCACGATTAATGCTAGATAGCAAAACTGACTGGCCGGGGATGGGGCCCATGGCTACAGAACAGTTTTTCTATGTGTAGAGTTAACTGTTGACTTTGAGGACTAAACCCTTTCCCTTGGCTTCATCAGTACCATCTTCCACCCAATTATGTTAATTAGCAAATGTTAGGGTCCCCAGTATGTATTACAGTATTCTTTCAAGAGTAAGGGATGCAATTGTGCAAAGGCTATTTGACATTTCAACTGAAAAGAGGTACTATTTGCCAAGAATCAAGGGAAGACTGACTTTTAATCTCTTCTTTGTAATAGAGGTCAGTAACCTCTGAATTAAGAGCTAAATATAGGCTGGCAATTTAATCCTAGGATTTCTAATTCTTAAATCTTTAAATAGGCTGATGCTCTGAAGCAGAACAGACTCGAGAGTGAACTGCTTAAACCACTGAAATTGGGGGAAATAATAACACCTCCCCAAGGCTTTAAACCGTGAGATTTTTTCCTAAAGGTTTCCATCCTATATAAATACAAAACAGTGGTTAAAATAAGCAGAGATGGGCAAATTTAATAACTGTTCTATCATTTAGCTTTCTCTTTCCAAGGGAAGTTCTTGTTTAGATAAAAATATTGGCTTTTATTATTTTCCCTTGACAAATGAAAGTTTTCTTATGTCTATATGTGCTTCTGTTTCACATCTATTTTAATGGTTAATAACCAATTTTAGACTAATTTGTGTATGTGTGTGTACATTTAGATTTAATCAGGACCAAAGTCCTTGGGGAAATATGACACTAATTATTAAATGTGTTTATTGTTTTTCCTTGCCATGGATTTTAGCCTTGACCATTTGACCTGAACATTTTATATCTTTCTTATCTGAAAAAAAAAAAAAAATTCCATGAAGAGGAGGACATGTGGCTCTGTTTGTGGGATTCCCTGTCTTTACAACCTGCTCCATTGTATCTTCCTCTCTTTTTGCCTTCTCCCGCCTCCCCTGACTCTGATAAGTTCCTCTCCCAAGGCATCTCCAAGGTGACCTCTGCAATCTCTCTGTGTGTAGGACAATAAGGACCTGGAGCTGGACATCATCCCAGCAAGCCTTTCAGATCGTGAGGTCAAGCTACGGGACGCCAACCACGAAGTCAATGAAGAGAAGCGGAAGTCAGCCCGGAAGAAAGAGTATGTTTTGGGGAGCTTCTACCCAATTAGCAAGCTCCTCATGACTATGCTTGGTTTTCACTCCTACATGCCCCTTTGGACAGCTTCATGTGTCCTCATGAGCACCCACAGAGGTTGGAATGGACAGACATGATGCTTCCACCCACATTTCACACTAATCAAGAATTATAGAGCATTGGATAGTGGAAACAATGAACCATGTCCACCTAACAAACCATTTCGTGATCGCTTTGCTTTCTTTGTGTTGGTGTTAGAAAGTTACACATATCCAGAGATCTTTGCAAGGGCTTTATGAAGAATATTTTGACAGATTCCTTTTGGGTAGTACTGGAAAAAGTAGTATGTTCTAAAATTAAGAAACCCAATATAGTTGATCTTATCAAAATAAAGGAGGACCCCAGGATCCCTTGGAGCAGAAGAAACTGAAGCTGTTCTGCAAAGCCTGGAGCTTGTGTTTTATCTAAGGAGTGTATTAGTTTGTTTGGGCTGCTGTAACAAAGTATCACAAATTGGATGGTTTAAACAACAGAAATACAGTGTTTCACAGCTCTGGAGATTGGAAGTCTGAGATCAAAGTGTTGGCAGGGCTGATTCCTTCTGAGGGCTGGGAGGGAAGGATGTGTTCCAGGCCTTTCTCCTTACCTTCTAGATGGCTGGCTACAGGTGCACATGGCATTCTCCCTGAATATATACCTATATCCAGATTTCTCCTTTTAATGACACCAGTCACTTTGGAATAGGGGCCTACCCTTTTCCGGTATAACCCAATCTTAACTGTTTACATTTGCAATTGACTAAATAAGGTTACATTCTCAGGTACTAGGAGTTGGGACTTTAACATATGAATTTGCGGGGGGGGGGGGGTTGCGGGGCGACACAATTAGGCCTATAACAGGGAGGGAAATAAAGAGACCATACTTAGCCAAATCTTCCTGCTACACTCTCTCTGGGACACCAAATAGCCAGAGGATGGAAAAGGACAGGTGGAAAAGAAAACAAAATGGGGTAGAGGGTAATGGAGCTGAATTATGAAGAAGGCAGGTTAAACTGAAGGAAGCAGATGGAGAAAAAAGGACAGGGTAGAAGAATACCAGAAACCCAAGGCAAGGAAGCCAAAGACAACTTTTCAAAGCATGTCAGATTATGTCCCTTCCGATTTTCCTTCTTTTCTTGTCTACCAAGCACCTGCAATGTGTAAGAAACTTTGCTTATGTGATCTTATTTAATCCTTGCAGCAACCCGTGTGGTCAGCTGTTTCATAAGTAAGGAGTCTGAGGTTTGGAGAAGCCAGTCCTACTTCCAATAACTGACAAAATAATAATTCAGCTCCTATTTGTCTGACTTCAAGGCTCACACCCTTTCCACTCTTCCAATAGAGTAAGAATAGTAAAAGAGTGGCTAATGAACTCCTGCAAAGGGGAATTTTTTTGAATCAGTACTTTAATATTAACGGAAAGGCCATTGCTAGACCAATGGATTGCTTTAAGGAAAATTCTACAAAGACAAAGGCCTGGGAAAAGATGCTGCCCATTTTCATATTTCTTGTGAAATTTCCAACAGAGGACGCTTTGGGGCTAATCATTCTCAAAATTTTCATGTGAAGATGAAGACACCTGCAAGTAGGGGTTTTCATTATGAGCTACCATGAAAAACTGACATAGCCTAAGATAAATATATAAATCTCTATGTTGGGTCAATTAGATATTACTGCATCACATGCCAGCTAAGAAGCACCCTTTCTAAGAAAAATCTGTGAAAGAAAGCAAATGCAGTTGGTACGCCACAGTGAAGCCATGCATCCTCAGTGTAATAACTGCCCGAGAACATCGTGTTGTTCAGGGGCCCAAAAGGAAGGGAGCCCTCTCCTTGCAGCCCTTTCCGTTAGGAGAGACTGAAGAGTAGTCACAACATCGTTAACTTGTGCTCTGCTTGTGATCGCACGCTCTGCTTCCCGGGCACCAGTTTGGATTGTAAGCGAGCCTGGGTGGAAATAGTGCCGAAGCGCACAGGTGGTCTAGGCCAGGAGTCAGCAAACTATAGCCCACAGGCCAAATCTGACCCCCCCACCTGTTTCATAGAGTCTGTAAGGGAAAAAGTATTTTTTATATTTTTCAATTTTTTTTCAATGGTTGAAAAAATAGCAGAAGAAAAATATTTTGCGATGTAAAAATGAGATGAAACTCTTTTGTGTCCATAAATAAAGTTTTAGTGGAACACAGCCACACTTTTTTTTTTTTTTTTTTTTACATATTGTCCATGGCTCCTTTCACATTACAACAGCAAAGTGGAGTGGTTGTGACAGAGACTTAATGGCCCATGAGTATTTACTGTCTAGCTCTTTACAGACTAAGTTTGCTACCCACCAGTCTCCACGGTGGTGTCTTGAGTATCTGTGCCAGGCTTTTAAACCTGGCTTAACTGATGGTTCTGCAAAGCATTTTGGCAAAAGTCAGCAGTTCTGTTGAACAGAAATCATCATTCTGGGAGCTGCAAGAGAAAAGCAGGAAGCTGAGAGTCAGGCTATAAGGTATTATATCTCGAACCAACTAAAAGTCTGTTTGTTTTCTTCCTAGATTCATTATGGCTGAATTGCTGCAGACGGAGAAGGCTTATGTAAGGGACTTACATGAGTGCTTAGAGGTAAGTCTTGCAGTAATCAGTGCACAGCTGTATTAGAAAAATGACAGCCTTGCCAGCGTCAGTCCTTGAGAAAAGCTCAGTGCTCTTTGTCTTCTCCCAGAGCTTCACAGATAAAAGCCAACAGAGGAAATCTTTCTTCCAGAGTCAGTAGTAATTGCATGGGAGTTTAAAATGCTTTTGAAAAGAAACTTTTCTCAGACTGGAGCTGGACCCAGCAAAAACGTACAGAAGGCTTGAATTCAAAATAAAAACCATGACATAGTCAATGAACTTAAGTTGAGTGTGCAAATCTACCCCCCTCCCCCACCCGACACACTCAAACACACACATTTAATAAATAAGAGGAATGTGGAGTTTGTGCTTTGCTGAAGTTCAGGACGTGAGTTTCTCTGGCAACAGTTGAAGATAATGGAACATTTGGGTTTTCTTTCTTCCCGTTCTGTGTATTTACCATCTCATTTTTTTATACTCCACATGCAAGCCCAGTCTGAGGCTTACCCTTCCAGCATGAAGACCTGTTTATGTTGTCTGCATTTTGTAGTTCTTGCCCATGATGAAGCTGTTGCTGTCTTACAGACATACCTGTGGGAAATGACCAGCGGCGTGGAGGAGATCCCCCCTGGGATCCTTAATAAAGAGCACATCATCTTTGGCAACATCCAGGAGATCTACGATTTTCATAACAAGTAGGTTGGTGGAGGATTTCTCCAGAACATACTTAGGGCCATGAATACCCATCATCAGGGCTTCCCAACGAGTGGATCAAAGCTGATTGGTAAATCTACCTGGTAAATTTTCTAAGTCAGTTGCTCAGACTTTTTTCTCACTCATCCCTCTTTCTCCACAATTGTCCAAAGTCACTCGTAGAGAGTGAGGTTGAGTATTCAGCAGTGTCTGTCCTCAGTTCTCCTTAGGGACCTAACTGGCAACACCTTCATATCCAATCAGAATGATAACCAAGCTCTGAGGAACTAAGAGTCTCTTCAGTAAAACTGTAGGAAATTCTGACACTAGAATTCATCTAAGGCTAATCATTCTGCCCTATGGGCCTTGGGTTTCAAATTCTATTGTTTTTGTTTTTGTTTTCAACCTAAATACTTCCCCTATTCCCCAGCTACTTCATCATCCCCACCCACAACCAAAACAAAAACATATGTAAATATGTAGCTAGGTAATCAAAATACCTAATGGAACACATTTCTTGACAGCTTATAGAAAAAGAGAACATCAATCGGCCCTCTATGTTTTGTTGAGATGAGTAGAACCATAGAGCCCTAAAGCTTCACAATTCATTTTGTCCAGCTCCCAATTTAAGGATATTTTCGACAGCATACTAAACATGTTCCATTGTTAACAGAGTCAGCAAGAACACTGGTTGGTTAGTTACACAGCCAATTAATGGAAATAACTCAGTTTTCAAAATACAAAGAGAGGGAATCTGAAGACCCAGGAGTAGTATTGATATAAAGTCCTAGAGTTCTCTCGGGACCCTGTCGCAGAAAGGGGCCAAGAGGTAGAGATTCAGTGTTGTAGGATACAGTTCAGGGGAAGTCCTACAGTCGGACCCATCGAGGCATTTACTGAGATAAAACTGCCAGCCCCGGGCGCCTGGGTGGCTCAGTTGGTTAAGCGACTGCCTTCGGCTCAGGTCATGATCCCGGAGTCCCGGGATCGAGTCCCGCATCGGGCTCCCTGCTCGGCGGGGAGTCTGCTTCTCCCTCTGACCCTCCCCCCTCTCATGTGCTCTCTCTCATTCTCTCTCTCAAATAAATAAATAAAATCCTTAAAAAAAAAAATTTAAAAAAATAAATAAATAAAACTGCCAGCCCCAAGGGTTCCTGGTGAGACCCTGTGTATGGGGGAGGCAGAACTCTTAGAACAGCGCTCTCCGATAAGCTCTCTGCACTGATGGAAATGTTCCATGTCTGTGCTGCTCAGTCCAGGAGCCACAGGACATGCGTGGCCATTCAACACTTGAAATGGGACCTGTGCTGCTAAGAACCGAATTTTTAATTTTATTCAATTTAATAAATTTAGATGGCAAGTGGCTATGAGAGTGGACAGCCCAGCTGTAGAAAATAAGACCGCAGTATGGCCCTTGGCTAGGAATGACTGAGAGCAAGCTGGAGTTTGGTATAAAATGATCCTGGGCTCTCGGGGCACCTGGGTGGCTCAGTTGGTTAAGCAACTGCCTTCGGCTCAGGTCATGATCCTGGAGTCCCAGGATCGAGTCCCGCATCGGACTCCCTGCTCGGCGGGGAGTCTGCTTCTGCCTCTGACCCTCCTCCCTCTCATGCTCTCTGTCTCTCATTCTCTCTGTCTCAAATAAATAAATAAAATCTTTAAAAAAAAAAAAAAATGATCCTGGGCTCTAAAAGGTCTAAATAAGACATGGAGACCCACTCTTCTCTTACCGACTCCTGATGATTAATACCCTCTTGTGTCATCAAATGGCATCAGTTTTAAAAGAACAAAATGTGACAGCTTCCCTGACATCTTAACCTTGTCAGATGATGAAACCAGTAATTTCTAGGGGAGAAAAAAACCTGATTTTCTGGAGTACCTAATAAAAGTTTCCAGTCCTTTTTTTTTTTTTTTTTTAATCACAGATTTTAGCACTCTCCATTTGGTTTGTCTGGAAATCTCCAGACTGAGAAATAGTCTCTCCTCATGGCTCTTTAATAAGATCCCAGTAAGGCCATTCTTGACCACTGATTCCCCAGTTCTGTCCTCTGAGTCCCACTCAGCATCATCCCATCTCCCCCAGGGTATCTGAGAAGACATTGGATTGGTAAGCAGTAAGGCAGGGTGCTTTACTTTTTTGATTTATGATCTCTGGGATTTAGTCAACAAGTCTCACTTTCCCTGTGTTCTTACCAAAATGAGTAAGTGTAGAAGTCTAGAGATCACAGCATGTACTTCCTGGGAGCCCTACTTTTGCCAAATCAATGTATAAGGGAAAAGAATATTTATGTCAAAATGGACCAATTGTAACAAAATATCTACCTCTTACACTCATTTCATGATATCACTCTAATAAGCCACAGTAAGCAGTTTGGTAGTTTTTAAACAGCTGAAATAGCTACCAGTTGCAAAGTATAGTTCTAAGAAGCCCTTACAAAAAAAAAAAAAAAAAGTCAAGTTAAACCATATGGAAGGCTACATTCTGTAGAGGAATAATTTAATTATCAAGAACACAGCTACCCAGCAAATGTTACCTATTTATAACATTATAGAGAAACAAGAAGAAAATAAAAACCAGCCTCTGAACAGCCAAAAGAGATATCACAAAGATAAAGTTCTTATCTTTTCACAGAAGGACCTTTCTATCCTTCCTAACAGCTACCTTACCTCTAGTTAAATTGTTTAACAATCTTGTTAGATGATAAGATCATTTCTAAGACCATAGCAACTTAGATGCAGTAAATCAATGTCACGAACTTGAGCAAGTAGTTTGATATTACCAGCATAAAGTAAAAGGAGACAGATAAACTGCAAAAAAAAAAAAAAAAGGCAGAAGAACACCCGAAATCCCAGTGGTCAAGGGCTACTCAGTATCGATGCCAATGATCCTTTATCCCAATATAGAGGCCCAACACAGCCTCTGTTTTATGATATAGCATAATAACTGATATTAGTAATAACCTGAATAATTAGTATATTCTACATTAAAAAGAAAGGAGTTCTGCAATGCATATAGAAAGCTCTCCACCAAAAAAAATTAATGTTTTAAATTATTCACAACCTTAGGGAACATCCAAGAAAATGAAGCTGTGTATTAATAATCTTCAGGATCTAGAAGCTAAGACTTTTCTCATAGTATGTGCTTTCTCCTTATGCCGTTACAAATTTCGATTAATTGAAAAAAGCATAACACCTCTAAAATCTCTAATAAGTAGGAGAGGAAAAGGCAAGGAAGGCAACTCTGAAAATACAGCATATGGGAACTCCATGAAAGACTCATGTCTTTTACTGCATAACTCTGGCACCCAGTGCACTTCAAGTCAATATTTGTTGGGTGGATATTTGATGGATGGATGGACGAATGGACACACAGACTAAAAACAGAATTACAGTTTGCAGACTTAGGGGCTAGTGCCATTGAAGTCATAATTGAGTCTTCTGTTTGTGAAAGTCTCAAGATAGGGAAAACCATTATGATTTTTTCCCCATCACTACCAGAACCTTAACAATTATAATTATAACCTTAATTGCAAAATAATATCTGAATGAAGGAGTTTCCTTGGGGCTTTTATATGAATTTTAGTGTTTTTTTGTGTGTGTAGTTGGCACATCATGTTACATTAGTTTCATGTTTCTGATTTGACGGGTTTATATATTATGCTATGCTGACCACAAGCCTAGCTACCATCTGTCACCACGCAACACAATTACAATGTCATTGACCCTATTTCTTATGCTGTGCCTTTCATGCCTATGATTTACGCATTCCACAATGGGAAGCCTGTAGCTCCCCCTTCTCTTCACCCATTTTGCCCATGTCCCCATACCCCTCCATCTGGCAATCATCAGTTTGTTCTCTGCATTTACAGTTCTGATTCTGGTTTTTGTTGTTTATTCATTTTTTTTTCAGATTCCACATGTGAGTAAAATCATATGGTATTTGTCTTTCTCCATCTAACTTATTTCAGTTAGCATAATATCCTCTAGGTCTACCCATGTTGCCACAAAACAGTCTCATCCTTTTTTTTTTTTTACAGCTGTGTAATATTTCTGTGTGTGTTTGTGTGTGTGAATACACCACATCTTCCTTGTCCATTCATCTACTGATAGACTCTTAGGTCACTTCCTGATCTTGGTTATTGTAAATAATGCTACAATAAGCATAGGGGTGCATATATATTTTCCAACTAGTGTTTTCATTTTCTTTGGGTAAAGACTCAGTGGTGGAATTATTAGGTCATATGGTATTTCTATTTTTAATTTTTTGAGGAACCTCCATATGATTTTCCATATTGGCTGCACCAATTTATATTCCCACCAATAGTGCACAAGGGTTCCTTTTTCTCCAAATCCTCACCAATTGTTATTTCTCCTCTTCTTAAAAAAAAAAAATTTATTTATTTGAGATAGAGAGTGAGAGAGAGAGCGTGAGCATGAGGGCAGAGGGAAAGGGAGAAGCAGGCTCCCCACTGAGCAGGGAGCTCGATGTGGGGCTTGATCCCAGGACCCTGGGACCATGACCTGAGTTGAAGGCAAACGCTTAACCGACTGAGCCACCCAGGTGCCCCTCCTCATTTTTTATCTTAGCCATTCTGACAGGTGTAAGGTGATATCTCATTGTGGTTTTGATTTGTATTTCCCTGATGATCAGTGATATTGAACACCTTATCATGTTGTCTGTTGGCCATCTCTATGTCTTCTTCAGAAAATATCTATTCAGGTCCTCTACCTATTTTTTTTATTGGATTGTTGGGGGGGGTGTTGAGTTGTATAAATTCTTTATATGTTTTGGATACAAACTTCCTGGGAGCTTCTTAATGGGAGGACCATAAAAAGAGTCTAAACATCTGTTTGCTTTTCAGGAATACTTATGAAATAGTCACTTTTTAACCTGAAAATATCCAAAGGTTCTTTTTAACCAATTCTTTGCATCTTTACAAAGTTACTGTTAAGTGCTACCTAACAGCAAACACACTTCTCTCATTTCTAGTGCACAGCTCGG